ACCCTTGGTCTCCAGTTTTGTTAGTGCTGTCCAAGCCACAACCACAGCAGCCCCTCCTGCCCTAGAGTCTCTGGGTAGGTAAGAGAATCATACCCGATCTCTGACAATGTCGGGAAGCCCCCCCAACCCATCCCGGGCGATCTCCAGGTAATCTGGCAAAATGACAATCTTCACGTCCTCGTCATATTCGTACTTGTCCTCGGTAAGGTCAAACCCACCTTCAACACCTGGGGAGGACAGGGAAGAGGAAGAAAGGAGGGCAACTACCATTTGTCATGGTCTCTTCTCCAATTTGTCCCTCCAGAGCGCTAAAGTCAATGATCAGGTTTAGGGCTCTCCTAGCAGGTAGCTCACCAATCGCCAGCCGGGTGGGCTTCTTACGAGGTGGGTCCCCAGTGCCTGCACTAGTGTCCTCTTCTTTCTGCAATGAAAAGAGGTTCAGAGGGCCGGGTGTGATGGCACATGACTTTGTTCTAGCATTTAGGAGGCAGAGGAAGGATCTCTATGAGTACCAGGCTAGCTAAGGCTACACAGTAAGACAAAAAGAAAAAACAAAGAAAAAAGGAGGGTCAGGAGCAGTCATGAGCCCAGGGACAGAACAAATGAGGAAGATGGAGGGAAAGGAATGAAGATTAAAAACAATTACGGCAAGTTTTAGTGACAGAAATGAAAGCGGGTGAAAGAAAAGCCAAGGACAGTGGGGGAGTCAGGCGTGCTGGCTAGTTCTGTGCCAGCATGTCACATGCTAGAGCCATCAGAGAGGAGGCTCAATTGAGGAAATGCCTCCGTAAGACGGGGCTGTAGGCAGCCTGTGGGCTGCACCCCCTCTGGTGACAGTGGGGGTCAAACGACCCTTTCACAGGAGTCACATAGCAGATATTTCCACTACAACTCAGAACAGCAGCAAAGCCAGTGAGGAAGTGACAATGAAAATAACTGTTGTAGCCGGGCGATGGTGGCGCACGCCTTTAATCCCAGCACTCGGGAGGCAGAGGCAGGTGGATCTCTGTGAGTTCGAGACCAGCCTGGTCTACAGAGCTAGTTTCAGGACAGGCTCCAAAGCCACAGAGAAACCCTGTCTCGAAAAACCGAAAAAAGAAAAAAAAAAAAAAAAAAAAAAAAAAAAAAAACTGTTGTAGGGTCGCCGCAACAGGAGGAGCTGCATTGAAGCGATACAGCATTAGGAAAGTTGAGAACCACTGTTGTAGGGCATTTTCTTAATTAATGACTGATATGGGAGGGTCCACCCATTGTGGGTGCCACCCCTGGGCTGGTAGTCCTGGGTTCTGTAAGAAAGCAGATTGAGCCAGCTGATAAGCAGCACCCCTCCATGGCCTCTGCATCAGGTCCTCCCCTCTCCGAGTTCCTGTCCTGACGTCCTTCAATGATGGACCATAGTGTGGAAGAATATGCCAAAAAAAATGTAATCCTTTCCTCCCCAATTTGCTTTTGGTCATAGTGTCTCATCAAAGCAATAATAACCCTCACTAAAAGAAACAGACATACAAAACAGGCACCTGTGTAAAGTGTCTGGATGTTCCCAGCCCACACCCTAGCCATTGGGCCTACCAGTCGCCGGGTCCTCCGGAGATGTAGGTAGACGCGCTGGCCCGTCTTGTTGAAATGTCTCTCCACATAGTGTTTCCCAAAGCCCAGGAATGTGTTCATGCAGATGTAGAGGCCACCCTCAGACTCCTGCAGGGCAACACGAGTGGGAAAACACAAGCAGGGTGAAGCCTGGACATGTGGGGAAACTAAGGACCTAGAGTCAGAAACTATAGGTTTCCTAACACTGTGTGGCTCTTAGCAACTTATCCATCCTTCCGGGGCATGATGTATGGCTGAAGATCTCCCAGCATCCTCTAGGAGTTTGAAAACAGCCAACAAGCACATGAGGCAGCTGAACAACACCCCTCAGTCACTGATCTTCTGGCTCATTGAGTGGGCTTTGCAGCTCACCTCTTCTTTGGCTCAGGAGATCCAGAAAGTGAATGGGGCTGGCAGTGTCAGGGACTACATTCAGAAGAAAAAGAGGTCCTTCCTGGGAGAAAGAAAGGCCTACACTTTCAGACCGATCACCAACCAGACCTCCTAGGCCAGAGGGGCAGAGCACACAGCACCAAGCAATACACCTAACCCTGAGCTTGACAACAGCTAGACCTTTCCTTTGCCACAGCTACGAGAGGAAAACCCTGGCTCTAGAGGAAAATACCTGTTTGGGACTCACAGCTAAACGTGAACCTAGATTATCAAGGCCTTGAAGTCCATCGTTTTACAGCCACTCTGTAACCCATCCCTCTCCTCAGTAAGATATCCACTGGAGCCCCATCAACCTGCAACCTCAAAGCCTGCCCTTTTTATTTACTTTTATTTGTTTATTTTTAACACACAGTCCCCTTGTGTAGATTACACTGGCATGGAACTCACTGTGTAGCCTACGATGATGGAAACTTTTGTCCAGCTTCAGCCTCCCCGGGGGCTGGCTGGGGTTACAGGTGTGTTACCACCACACGTGGCTGAGATATCTCTTCCACCAACACTCTGGCAGCACTGGCTGAGATAGCTAGACTACATAAAACTCAAGAACAGGGACGACAAAGGCCATCCTGAATCCCGAGGAGGGAAAGCTAAGCCAGTCTGCCAGTGCCTTTGTAAGCGTGGCTGCCTCTGTAACAGTGAGAAAGTGGGAGAGGAGACTGGAGAATAGAGAGTCTGGTCTCAGACCCAGGGCTTTGAGCAAAGGCATCCTTTTCCTGGAATAAAAGCTTTGTGGCCTTGAACACTTCCCACTGTGCAAGTGAAATTAGGTCGTTATCTAAGACAGTGGACCAGTGCACCATACCACCCCCTAGGACAGTGCAGTGTTCACGGGCAAAGCATTTCTCACCAAAGGTCAACTACACTCTCTTTCTTCCAGACAGAGAATCAGAAGATAAACTGCAGAGTTTGTTACTAATTCAGGAAGGCTCTACTGAGATTTAGAATGGAAAAAGGGAAGGTGTTGGAAAATTACAAAACAAACAAACAAACAAAAACCCCACCTTTTCTGAGTCATTTAAAGTAGCTACTAAGGAGGAGACAAGAACAACTTTAAATTGCTGTAAGTGTAAAGACAGACCCACTGATGTCTACTTTCCCTCCGGGCAGGAAAGTAGGCACTCTCAAGTAACTCAACTCTTCCGATGAAAATAAAAGGTGCTGCTTTCAGCCCGGATTGAAAACACCGGCGCTCTACGCCAGCAATCCTCCTTTATTTCTACCAAGGCCAATTTGAGAGGAGCACAGCATTATCTGGGGCTTAGATCAAAGCCCAGCAAAGCAAGCAGACCACAAATCACAGTACTGGTCCTGAAGTGGGCATTACAGCAGGCTACTATGCTCAGCGCTGGGGATGCACTAATGGAGCCCTTCCACTCTGACTTGCAGTTTTCAGGCCATGAGCTGGTCTGGCTGAATGCTCTGGGCAGGGCCCAACAACCGCTTGAGGGGAGGGGCTGTGAGGGGGGCGGATCCCAAGCAAACTGCAGCCCTTTCAGTCAGGGCCCGGGGGCTCGGCTTCAGCTGAGGATGACACAGGGAGGCAGAACTGCGGGAAGGGAGGTAGGTATGAGGTGGAGCCTGCAGAACGTGAAGCACGGTGTGGGTGGCGGCTTTGTCTAACTAGACAAGAGTGGGAGCAAGATGGTAAAAGGGCCTTAGCATCCTCCAGAGAAAGAAACCCTCTCCAGGAATACTTCAAAAGGGGTTGTCTCGGTAACCTGTGAAGGACGGAGGAAAAGGGAGGGGGACGCGGCCATAATTCACTTCCGAGAAGAAACGACTGGGCGTTTTTCCTCCCCCCCTACCAGTGACCCTCCTCCCCATCCCCTATCCAAATTAACCACGAGTGGAGGATGTTTAAACTCAGTTTTTCGCCAAAACTGGACTTCTTCACAGCCCTCTTCCAGACTAGAAGATGAGGACCACACCTTCCCAACCTCAACCCCTACCCAGAACAGTGGGGAGTCGCCCCTAGTCCTGCCACATGAAACTACAAAACCCGGAGAGCCATGCGCAAACGTGCAAGACGACCTCCAGCCTTTTTCTGGGTGTCGCCTGGGGGATGTAGTCCGCCGATCAGGTTCCAACTCTATCGTAGAATGGTAACAAGAGACAGGGGCAACTACAATGCCCATAATGCTTCACGAGACCAGGAATAGGCCAACCGAGAGCTGTAGCTTCCGGGAATGGTAGTCATATTACAGCTTCAGATAATGAAAAGCAAAAGCAGAGAGTCGCGGGGAAAACTACAACTCCCAGGGTGCATCGCAAGGAGGCGGTAGCCCAAGGCTTGCAGGCCCGGCCGAATGACCATGGCGATGGAAGGAAGTCGTGGTCGCCGCGGGCATGGGGAATGGGCTTACCGGCGTGTCGAAGGAGAATGCGCACTCGTCTTTGTGGACCCGGTCTCCCGCCTTGGGGACACGAATCGTCGGTAACACTGACAGCAGCGCCTCCTCACTCAGCTCCGCCATGACACCGGCAGCAGCTCCTCCTCACACGGCAGCTCCCACTGTCCCAGGTCCCTCCCCACTCCTGCTCTCGCGTCCAATGAGCGCGACTCGCTAGGCGCATGCGCTAAACGCAAGCCGCGCGAGAACGGCAGTTGGCCTCAGCCTGCCGCCTGGTGCTCCGCCCTCCGCCCCACTCTTAGCGAACGCCAATGAAAACCTCTCCTGGCACAACTGATGGCCGAAAGGACCAATCGCGCTCTTCCAGGGCGGGCGCGCGTGTAGAGCCGCGGGGAGGGCGCGCTGTTGCGGGTCCACTGATTCAAGGACTCGTCCAATCTTTAAGTGAAGAGCAGAGACTGTGGGCTGTTTAACCCCATGAATTACTGAAACTTGTCCAATCGGAAAATAATCGGGCACTTGTCTTCTGGGTATTTGAAAAGCAGTAGCCAATGAGGCAGACTTTGAGAGATGTGAGTGATAACTTCGTCAACCAATAAGGACTGCTGTCTCGTTTTAGGCAAACCATCCCAACTCGGCCTCCAGCCAGTTTTGCGCGCACGGCAGAATGACTCGCTCGCCCTATTTTGTTTAATAAAATCGAAAAGCTGAGAAGCGCCCAGGGTCTCACGCCTACTGCTGACCGGCGGATACGGAACAAAAGTCCCCTTCGGCTCACCGAGGCACAAGCTAGTCCTCACCCCATTGGCCAGCTCTCGTGATAGACATCCTCCAAACCAATGGCCTTCCGGTCTGCAGGGCGCGTTTCCCACAACTGGCCTATGAGATTCTGCTTCGGCCCAGCCAATAGGGTCAGGGCAGGGGGCGTGGCGGGAAGTTTGAAACGCCTGACTTTGGGAGTTGTTTTTCGAGCTCCCCGAGGTCGAGCTGGGGCCCGGTAAGCGATGCTAATTAGTGGCTAAATCGAGGCTCCAGCAGATCTGAATGCGCCTTTAGACAGCTCCGCTCATTGGCCCCTCAGAGGTTTCTGGGCCTGCGACCCTGAGGTTCCTCTGCTGGAAACTGGGACGATCGGGTGGGTCTGGGGTCAGAGGTCCGCCACGGTGGCTGTAAACTGAGTCGCTCCTGACAGGCGTCCCTTCCTCTGTCTGCACAGCCGGGCGTCCCCACCGCTCGTGGAGATGGGCTCTACTCAGAGCATCTCAGGCACTCCAGCGCGGCCTCTGCCACACAACAAGCATCTGGCTCGGGTAGCAGACCCTCGTTCACCTAGCGCCGGCATCCAGCGCACTCCTATTCAGGTACGCTGGGCTGGGGTGGAGAATGAAGAGAAGCTGTCTGGATTCGTGGGCCTCTCTCTAGCCTGTTTCTGTGCGTGTCCTCATCCCCCTGCCACTGGAACCTTACTTTCTTCGCCTACCCTTCTTTTGTTATTTATTTTTTGAGGTTCTGATATAATCTCATCATTTCTGTCTTCCCTTTTCTCCCTCCAAAACCTTCCTTGCTGTCCTTCAAATTTATGGTCTCTTTTTCATTTACTGACTTTCAGGGGTTTGTTGTTGTTTGTTTGTTTGTTTGTTTGTTTTTGAGACAGGGTCTCACTGTGAAGCCCTGACTGGCCTGGAACTCACCATGTATACCAGGCTGGTCTCGAACTCAGAGACTGACCTGCCTCTGCCTTCTAATCCCTGGAATGAAAGGCTTGTGCCACTACTGTGCCAGGCAACTTTCTTTTTTTTTTAAATCTGCATCTGACAGGCTGCATATCCATGGGCATTAGCAGTTCTGGCTGGGAATATGGGGAGGAGATAAAGTTCCGGGCCCAGGCTTGTTCTACCTTACGGTATTGACAGGTGGAGAGCTCCCCGCAGCCAAGTCTGCCAACAGAGCAGCCAAACAGTCCTAAACAAGCCCAGGACCCAGACCCCCGCTCTCCTACTCTTGGCATTGCACGGACACCCATGAAGATCGGTGCTGCAGGTAAGTGACGGACCCGGGGGGGGGGGGGGGGGATACTGATGAAACTGACACCTATCTAGGGTGCCGTCGAGACCATTTTTGTTTTACTGGTTTTTGTTATTTGCTTCTTTTTGTAGCTCTGGGGTTTGAGCCAAAGTTCTTAAGCATGCCAAGAGCCCCAGCCTCCTGCTGGACCCCTCACTTAATTTTTTTAAACATTTACGTGTATGGACAGACACCTGACACGGTTCATGTGTGAAGGTCAAAGGGCAACTTTAGGGGATCCAGTTTAGGTCAGGCTTGGCAACAAGCTCCTTTATCCGCTAAGCTGGCCCTTTTTCCTTTCTTCCTTTCTTTAACCCTTGAGGCAGGGTTTCCCTGTGAAACAGCCCTGGTTGTTCTGGAACGTGCTTTGTAGACCAGACTGGCCTTGAACTCAGAGTCTGTCTCTGCCTCTGCCTCCCAAGTGCTAGGATCAAAGGCCTGTGCCACCACTGCCTGACTGTTTTTTAAGACAAGGTCTTACACTGTAGCCCAGGCTGCTCCGGAAGTGAGGCAGTCCTACCTCAGCATGTGAGTGCTAGAATCGCAGGCATGTGCTACCAGGCCCAGCTCCCCTAGCCCGGTTGGGCCGAACCCCAGCCCTCCTCCTTTTGTGTTCACACTTTACCACCGAGCCCCACCCCCCTCCGTCTCAACCTCCATAGCTTGTTTTCTCCTGCCTTGACTTTATTCTTTCCACTCCCTCCCCCATCTGAGCAGGGGTCTTCATTCTCCTCTCTGTTTTCCTCCTTGGTTTGTCTCAGAAGGCCACAGCTTGTTTTCTTTCTTCCCTCTAGACCCTCAGAGTCCCCTGGTGAGAGAACTGAGTGAAGTATTTGAGACCGAAGCTTCCAAGTCCATCTCCCCCGCAGAGCTAGCTCTGCCCCAGCAAACACCTTTATCTTCTGAACTGGACCTGCCTTTGGAGACTCAGTTATCCCTAGAGGACCAGTTGCTGCCTTGGAGCCAGCCTGAACTCCCCTCCAAACAGGTGTTTACCAAGGAGGAAGCTAAACAATCCACAGAAACCATAATTGCCAGCCAGAACTCAGACAAGCCCTCAAGAGATCCCGAGACTCCCCAGTCTTCAGGTACAAAATTGAAGAGCAGGATGGAGGGGAAAGAAGCTAGAATCACATCCTGGGATAGTGTAGGAAGAATAACTAAGCCCAATCCTGAGTCCTTACTTGGACTAAACCTTTCTTCTAGGTTCTAAACGCAGTAGACGGAAAGCAAACAGCAAGGTGCTAGGGAGATCTCCTCTCACCGTCCTGCAGGATGACAACTCCCCTGGGACCTTGACATTGCGGCAGGTAAAGGAAGAGGGAGAAAACTGTCACTCTGCGTATCCAGCATTGTAGCCGGAGCCCTCGCCCCCCTCTCCCCTCTCCCTCATGTGCCCTGGCCCTTGGCTCACATGCTGCCTTTTGCAGGGTAAACGACCTTCTCCTCTAAGTGAGAATGGTAAGGACCTAAAGGAAGGAGTCATTCTTGACACTGGAAGATTCCTGAAAACTGGAGGAGCATGGGAGCAAAACCAGGACCATGACAAGGAAAATCAACACTTTGCTTTAATGGAGAGCTAGGTCCACGCTGGGTTCACCCAGAGCCTGGCAATAGTCTCTTCCCCAAGAGCACTGAGCAAAGTCAGGCTCTTCCCAGGCTACCACCTCTGGTACTTGGATGTTGTTTTGTTTTGTGTGTTTCTTTTCATATTAAAGGAGATGGTTTTAAATGATGCTTTAGGATGTTAGACAAGGCTGCATTGGGTCTTCTGTGTGTGTAGAATGGTAGCCTGGGGTCTATGAGCCCTGGATATCTCTCTACTGCCACTTCTAAGCCTCTTTTTTATGCCTTAAGTTTTGATGTTCGCCAAGGCTCTGCCCTTGGCCCCTCTTTCCTCTTCCCCTCTTGTTGGGGCTTAGCTATTACTTACTTGCTTCTGGTAATTTTCAGGTCCCTCTCTTACCCTGACTTTTATTCAGCTGCCGCATAAGCACTCAGCGTTAGTTCCCTTAAAATAAAGTTTATGATCTCCTTTCCCTAAGGCTATTCCTCATTGCCTATTCCCCATCCTTGTGGATTGGGAAGACCCTCACCCACCTATCTGCCTGAACATTAGTCTTGGCCTTGGTCATCATACTGAATTCTTCTGTTCAGAATGACATATCTGTGAATATGATCACTAGATCTTGGTGACTCCATGTTTCTGATCTCTTCTGTCTTGTGTGTGTGTGTGTGTGTTTTGCTGGAGATTGACCCAGAGTTTTGCTCATGTTAGACAAATACTCTGTTAGTGAACTTCACACTCAGCCCCAGGCCGGTTATCCTTGCATTTCTTGCCACCAGCTTCATGTCTCTAGAGGGCCAGTCTTTTTCCATTTTACCACCCTAAACTGTTAGAAGAGCAATTTTCCTGACAAGCTTAGAGATCGTGGTAATACCCCACTTGAAACTCTTTAGTGGCCTCCAAGGCCCTTTATCATCCAGCTCCTATGCAGGCATGCACATGATTGTAGTCTGCAGTAAGCTGTCGTGTGCCTCCCAGCCACTCAGCCTCCCTAAGAAACCTCAGCTTCTGCCTTGATCCTTCTTCCTGCCCACAGTCTACCTAGTACTTAACCTTTATCCTAGCACCTGTAATATCTTGTTGTCCGTTAACAGGACCTAGGTCTTCTTGTAGCACAAAGGGGTGGAAGCTAGCAACACAGGATGCTACGTTTTATTAGGTGATAATAAAGGGGGAAAGGTAGAAAAGGAGAAAGTCTGAAGGGGCCAGGAGACTAGTAGTGACATCCACAATCATGAGCTGAGCACCCTGACCATTCCTGGTCTGGACAAAGGCTATGGGTAGCTCAAGAGGACCCTAGAGGCTGAGAGGGTCTGTTCCTGTTTATTAAGGGAGAAGCTGTGAGGGCTCTGGATAGGGGAGGCCATGGCGGAAATGGGGCAGTTCTTTGCCCTTGTGTCCCTGATGCTTCCAAAGGCACACTCCCATAATCCCTACTGCTCTCAAAAGAAGTTTACTGGGAATGGCCCCTGGGCTATAGAAGACTGACCCTAAAGAGGTGAATATAGGAGGAAGCAGCTGAGGATCTTCATGGCTTCCCACCTCTCTTCTTCTGGCCTCCTTAGTTCCAGATTTTGAGGAAGCTGTCCCAGGAACCAGTGGCCACAGCCATACCATCAGCTGTGACCCCCAGGCAGCTGACTCTGTTGTCGTGGCCAGACAGTACGCCTGAGGAAGAGAGGAAAAGTCAGTCTACTTTCCCAGGTGTGTGAGGGCCGGGGATGTGCAGAAGCTCCAGCCCGGGGAGGCTAGCCTCTGCCCTGATGGGGACTAAGGAACTGAAGGAGGATTAGCCCCGAGGAGAGGGGTTTCTTGTCAGGCCAGTTCCTCTGTCCAGAGCCCGAGTCTCTGGTAGGGCAAGGGTAAATTGGTTAGTAATGTCAGTAAGCTGTGAGGAAGGGCAGAGTTACTTTGATAGATCCAAGGACGGGGTTCTTTGTTTCTGGGTTTAAAAAAAAGAAAAAAAAAAGGCAACTTGAAAAGTAATCAACTGAATATGATTTGGAGTCTGATTCAGGAGTATGTATTATTTTTTTTTTTTCAGCTCTTGGTCTCTCCTGATAGAAGCCAGGCTGTCTTTCCACTCTAGACAGCCAATCCTAGAAAAGCTTCTAGGCTAGGCCCAGGACCTTTGATTTACTCTTATTCACACCTCCCTGAGGCTGTCGCTTAAACTTCAGATACACAAAGGTCTGGACATTTAAGATACACTGGTTTGGAGTGACCAGAAGGAGCAGGCACGGCACGAGGCAGAAGGGCTGCTTAGAGCACTTTCTGTTTGGGGAATCTGGTCTTAGTTTCTGGTGTTGGTTTCCAAGGCTCAGGTTAGGCAACAATTGGGAAACAGCAGGAAGAGGGTCCCCTTAAAGAAACTGGGAGGAGGGGCTGGAGAGATGGCTCAGAGGTTAAGAGCACTGACTGCTCTTCCAGAGGTTCTGAGTTCAATTCCCAGCAACCACATGGTGGCTCACAACCATCTGTAAGGAAATCTGGTGCCCTCTTCTGGCCTGCAGGCATGGAGGCTGAACACTGTGTACATAATAAATATCTTTAAAAAAAAAAAAAAAAGAAAGAAAGAAACTGGGAGGAAAGGCAAGAGGGCTGGAATGTCTGGGGCAGACTCTTACCTACACGCTCGCACTTCAAAGAGTCCCAGACATTGCAGTTGAAGTCATCATATCCTGCGAAGAGCAGGCGACCACTGAGCGAGAAGGCTACTGACGTGATGCCACAGATGATGCTCTCATGGGAATAGGCGGTCAGTTCTTGGTCTGCCCTCAGGTCAAACAGCCGGCAGGAAGCATCGTCTGAGCCAGTGCAGATGGCCTCTCCATTGGGAAAGAACTGAGAATACAGATAAGCAGTGGTCAGCACTCAGACCTGGGGCAGCCTCGCCTTTCTTCCTGGTTCCCATCTCTGCCTGTCTCTTTCTTGGTAGGGTGATCACTGCTGTGTTCTTATGGCTCCCTCTGCTGTGATTGCAGCAGTACAGGCAGGCAAGAGCACCAGGGTTTCCCAGGGTCACATGACTGAAAGACCAGCCTTCTGTGATTATCCTGTAGACTAGTCCAGGGTGTGCGGGAACAGCACAAGGTCCAGGCAAGTAACCTGAACGTCATCCTGAAGAATAACAAGTGTACTTGCAGGGAAATTATAGAAAACTGGTGATATAATATCATAGACCCCAGAAAAGTAGAAAAATGGTTCCAATCTAGAGACAGAAGACATGGCAAGGATGTACATGTTTCTGGATTAGATTCTGTGTAGAAAAACTTTGTAGTAAGGACATTTATGAGATAATGATTACATTTGAGTATGAGCTGCAATATTCTGTAAATATTGAATTTCCTGGTTCTTACAAATTATGCTGGGGCTGGAGAGATGGCTCAGGAGTTAAGACCAGTGGTTACTCTTGCAAAAGATCCAGGTTCGGTTCCCAGCACCCATATGGTGGCTCACAACCATCTGTGACTCCAGTTCCAGAGGACCGCAGGTGTCAGGCATGTACTTGGTGTACAGGCATACATGCAGACAAAACACTCATACACATAAAACTTATACTGTAGCTGGAAAGGGCCACTTAATACCTGTACTCCTAGCACTTGGGAGGCTGAGGCAGGAGAATTGCCTCAAGTTTAAAGCTAGCCTTCCAGGGTGAGAAAGTGGGCTCCAGTAAAGCATGGTCAACTCTGAGATTGTCTTAAAAGATGAAAGGCAGGACTGGAGATACAGCTCTAGGCGTAACCTGGGTTCATTCTCTGTATGGCGAAAATAAAATGTATAAGCTGGGCGGTGGTGGCACAGGCAGGCAGGTCTCTGCGAGTTCCAGGGCAGCCTGGTCTACAGAGTGAGTTTCAGGATAGCCAGAGCTACATAGAGAGACACTGTCTCAAAAACCAAAACAAAAAAGTATGAAGATAAAGTAATAGTGTTAATAACTGGGGGTGGCCAGATGGCTCCGTGAGGAAAAGGACTTGCTATACAAGCTTGATGATCTGAGGTTGATCCCCAGAAGGAGAGAACAGAGTCCTAAAATCTGTTTTCTGACTAGTCACACACTCAATAATTTTTAAAAAAAAAAAATTAAAAATTGGTCATGGCTGACATCCCTTGAATGTGAGGCCAGCCTGGTCTATATAACAAATTCCAGCCAGAGCTATATAGTGAGACCTTGTCTTAGGGGATTTTTTTTTTAATTTATGATTTAGGGCTGGAAAGATGGCTTAACAGCTAAGAGCACTTGCTCTTGCAGAGGACCCAAGTTCAAATGGGTACCAGCACCCACCTACATGACAGTTCATAACTGTGATTCCAACAGTTCCAGGGGATCCAACACCCACCTCTGCCCTCCAAGAAGTATGTGAGAGGCACAGAGCCATGATGTAAGTCATCTATTCTCAAATGACCCAGGAATGAGGACCTAGGGTGTAGCTTGCTGGTAGGGCACTTGTTGACAGAGAGCAGGGGAGGAGCTAAGTGCGCATGTGTGAGGGTGTGTGCTGGAATGTCTAGAGACAACTGTAAAGCGTGGCAGAGTGGTAACAGTGAATGGGGTGAAACAGACTTGGGATTTCTTGTCATTGCTTTTCAAACTATCCTATAAAAGTAAGATTATTTCTAGAAATAACAAGGAAAGGGCTTAGAGGTGGTGTGGAAGTGGGTCAGAGATGTATCCTGGGGTTTAAGGTAGCTAATTCCTCAAGGGCACACACGAAGGGACACTCACACAGATAGCATTGATGTCGGATTCGTGGCCAGTGAAAGTCTGGCGGCAGGTCCCTTCCCTCACATCCCAGAGCTTTGCGCTGGCATCACAAGCACCCGAAATGAAGAGCTTGTAGTCTGGAGACACAGCCAGGCTCATGCAGTCTCCAGTGTGACCCACAAACACCGTCTTCTGCTGCCCCGTCTCAATGTCCCACAAGGCACTGTCAGGAGAAAAGGAGCCAATCACACAGAAATGTCACAGTTGCCCGGCACAGAACGACCTTCCAGTCCTCAGCACCCGCGGCATTCTACCCTTACCACGTGGTGTCCCCAGAGCTGGTCACAATGTTGTTGTCATCCAGGAAACGGCAACAGGAGAGATAACCTGAAGGTGATTAGGACAGGGCTCTGGCTTAGGGTCACAACTGGACAGGGGCCTGGATTTCCGTGATCCATACACAGGAAAAGAGGTCTTCTCACCTGTGTGAGCAGAGAGTTCCCGGCTGACCTTAACATTGCCCTCACGGGATTTGAGGCTGTAGATGGAACACATGTTGTCCAGACCCCCACACGCCACAAAATTCCCTGATGGTGCATAGGCACAGGTCATGACCCAGGAGGAACGCAGTGGAATGGCATGCACCTGCAGAGAGGGTAGATTTTGGGCGGATGGAACCTGAGCTTCAGGGAACGGCACAGAGATTAGGCATGCAACCCTAGGAAGGATGGAGGGTCCTTCCTTGAAGGTGGTCAGTAGGAAGAGCTGGTACCTTGTTAGTGGTGTAAGTGTCCCACACGATCAGCTTCCCGTCCTGCGAGGCACTTACCAGCAGCCTGGAGAAAGGGCACCTGTGTCATCCCCACCTCTTCTCCCTGCCCACCCCCGTCCATTTTAGACACCTCTGGATCCTCACTTAGAGTCAGTGGCCCAGTGCATGGCATAGATCTTGGCCAGGTGTCCCCTTAATGTCCTCCGTGTCCGCATCTGGACTCGTCCCACCACCTCTAGGCCAGACACAAGCTGCAGAGAAAGGGGTATTGGGTTTCACATGTCTGCCACAGCCCCTGCTCTGTTCCACTTCCTTCTGGGGACCAGAAACTGCTCAAGAGGTCCCCAGCCTAGAGCGACCTGGCCTCCTGTGGTAGACAGGGGCTGGGATAGCTTCTGGCAAGTTGCTAAATGGTAGAGGTAAGTGTTTAGCACGATGTCTCCAGACTGAAGAGGAGGAATTGCTAGTAGGGAGATATTCCCGCCTAGATCAACCTCAAGTTGCTGGTATGAGGTCACTGAACAGTAGCTTGAGACACACAGGGGATACCAGACTGGCAGGTGCCTGTCTTCACACATCAGTGGCACCCAGCCAGCACTCATGGGTTCTGAGGCATTGCCATCATCCGGAACTGCCCCTCCAACCACAACCAGCCTCCCATCTGCTGAGCCGCCAGGGTCCACAAAGGTGGTCTGTCATAGTTTGTCAACTTTGGCAAATCATACCTTCCCTTGAGCCTATTATCTTACAGAGTTGCCATGGGAATCGTACAGAATTATGTATTTAAGCATCTAACACTGCTTTTCTCATGATGTTTACGTATTTTAATACAATCGGTTCTATGTTCTTTCTTCCCCCTCGGTACCTGGGGATTGAACCTAGGGCCTCAGGTATGCTAGCTTAGAAGTCTACCGCTGACATACATCCCAGACCCTTTTTACTTCTTTTTTAATACACTATTTCTATTAACTATTTGATAATTTCAACCATGCATGCAATGAATTTTGATCATATTCGCCCCGACTTCTAGCTTCTCCCAGATCCACCCTTCACCTCCTACCCCCACCCAACTTCATGTCTTCTTCTTAAAGTTTTTGTCCTAGCTGAACTTTTTACTTTTTATTTTGAGACAGGCTGGCTTTAAAAGCATTCTGCAGCCCAGGCAAGTCTTGAATTTTCAGTCCTGCCGCAGCCTTCCATGTGGCTGAATTCCAAGCCTGTGCCACCTAGCACGGCTTGATACTTACTATCAGTTCTAAGAAACAGTATTATTTTGTCTGTCACTAAGAAAGAAACACTAGGCTAACAAGATATTATGTATTGTCAAATGCATCTCAATTTTAGAGAAATCTGTGAAGAAGCAAACATCTTAGAATTGATAATGCAGTCTTAGACAACTGTCAGTTCGAGTCTATGAGAAATCCTGCATGCTCCCTCCGTCTTTACTGCTTAAGGATGAAGGGGACAAGGCCAGTGTCTGTGTCTTCAGCATCCAATATAATGCCTGACCTAGAGCAGATCTTAATAGATGTTTGTTAAATTAATTCATGAGTGTCTTTCCTCACTCCAAGGACAGGATGTGCTAAAAGCTCAGGCAACAGTATGTCATTGGTCATGAAGCACTTCCCTCCTCTCCCTCCCCTTCCCTCCCCTCATGTCCTGCCTCAGAAGGGTGAAAGTCTCACCTCAGCTAGGGTGGTGTCCGCACAGGCTTTCCTGGCATCCTGCAGGGAAAGCGGGCATCAGGGAGGCTGTGGCAGGGTAGGGGGCATGCACATGCACCTCACACATGGGTGGGCATGGGGCTTTGCAGTTGGGTGGTGGTCTCAAATGTGAGCTTCAAATTTAAAGTCTCTGAATCTTTGTAGATCAGAGGTCTCTAAAGTGTCACCCAAGAGTGACCCAGTCCCCCAGTCCCTCCCAGGCCACACTCCCACATGTCCTGAGCTCTGTTTGCCAGGGTCCCCAGGACGAGGGCTCCGGGGTTACAGCAATCTGCTTCTTGAGCTGCTCCGCTTCCTGCCTCAGCTGCTCCATCTCCCCCATGGTGCACAGATCAAGGGGCGGTTCTAGCTCCTGCCAGGAACATGGAATAGGTGTTGGGGAGTCCCCATAGGACCATGTTTCTGTCCTTTACATCCTAGTCCACTCCTGAGAAGTGATGGGGGGCTTCCCCTCCTCCTGGGTTAGGTCCTGTACATCAGTCCCAGACCTGCCTGAGCCCTCCCTGTGAGCCCCCAATCCCAGAGGGCAGAGCCGGCCAGCTCCCTCTTACTTGGGCTGTGGCTGGACTTCTCCCAGGTTTCCGCTTCCCAGGCGCCTCCTGAGTCTCTCAGCTGCGATGCCTGCCTGTCACCTGCCCCCCTCTGCTGCCAGGGGAGCTGGCCTGGCCTGGCCCCGACTGGGAGGGGGAAACAGACAGGGAAGGGTAAGGCCAACGACAACCACGTCAGGCAAATGAAATGAGCTGACAGGGGTGGGGGAGAGGCCAGGGAGGGAGGCGGATGGCTTCCAGAGACGTGGGCCAACCTGGAGGGGTGGGGAGGAGGTCTGTGAGCCACAAGAAGCGGGGAATAAAGGGGTGCCTCCATGGTCAGCGTGCCGGCAGAGATAAGAGCATCAGGCCCACGGATCAGAGAAAAGCTGTGAGGATTACTGGTTTGGGGAGGAGAACAGAACAAGAGCAGCCACAGCTCCAGTGGCCCCCAGGCCCTAGCCTTAACTTGTGGTCATGATCTTGGCAGTGCAGGCCCGTTGAGCAAGCAGGCCAGGAGCCAGGACAGAAAGGTGATAGATGACCCTGTTGTCAACACCCCAAACCATGTTCCCTCATGCGGACTGTGGGGGAGAGGGTTCAGGCAGAAGCTGAGATTAGAAGGGGCTGATCCGGATAATCCTTTTCTCCACAAGCCCCAGCCAGCTGCCCCTGGGCCTGATCCTAGCCAGGGGAGCTGACAGGAGATTCAGGGGGACTCTGGGCCAATGTGCCCCTGCCTTCTGGGCAAAGAAAGGACTATAAAGAGAAGGGAACCCTGTATCCTGCTCCTAGGATGGGGATCTGTCTTCATGCTTGCCCACGTTACTCCTGGGGTCTTGCTGGACAGTGAAGGTCGGAGCCAAGGAATAAGGCTACCCTCTCACCCTTACTCAGGGAGAGATAACAGGGCTTAACCTTGGAGCCCAAGGAGCAGCTGCAGTGGTGGTGATGGGGCACGTGGGTCTATTTGCATGAGGCAGCAGGTGGCTGAGATTTCCCTGACAAATCTCAGGCCCTCCTGGCTCCGCCTCTGGGAGGCCCAAAGACACCACCTGTCTCCTCCCAGACCAGCCCTGACCACCCCCACCTCCAGCAACTAGAGAAGCTGGGATACACCAGACCAGGCCCTGGCTGGGGAATTTTCATGTTCTTTATTGCATGGGTTGGGAGAGGATGGGATAGTCTCCTCTGTGTCTTCTGTATTAGAAGCAGTTAGCCTTCAATCCTTGCCATGCCTTTCAGCCTTTCAGGGAGGCATAATGATCTTTGTTTGTCCCCAGATGGGGCCAGACCTGGCTTCCAGGCCTGGTGGGCTCTAGGCTAAGTCTTTGTAGTAAGTTTGTGAGTCCAGGGTTTGGTGGCCCTCATAGGTCCCCAGGATGATCGACTGAAGAGACAGGGCCTGCTGCGCTGTCCCTGACGTCACTGGGCCTTCTCATCGGTTCGCTCACAAGCTGAAGTTGGCTCAGCAGTCAGAGTTCCTCTCGGACCCTGAGTAGCTTCCCAGCTTTGTCTTGGACCCGCTGAAGCTTATGACTTGGGGGTTCTGGGGAAGGATCTCTGTTGAGAATTTCTTCCTCTTCCTCCTCTTCCTCCTCTTCTTCCTCCTCCCGCAGCAGCTCTTCGGCTTCTGTCCACTCCTGGGGTGGGGGGGATTAAAACTATGGTTCAGTCCTTTGTGGCCACCTTTCCTGGGTCATCTCAGCCACCCAAGGGCTTCACTGTGAGCCCCACTCCTGCACAGACTCCCGTAGTGACCTCCACCCACCCTCCCCTTCTCATCTTCCTACCCCAAACCTCCTTACCTGTTCCCTGTGCTCAGGCGCCCACGTGTGCCACAGTGCTAGGGCACAGCGCCGTCCCCGCGTCACAGCCCACACACCATGGGGATTCTCACCACCAGAGCTGAAGGCCACGAGGCGCCCACATCGAGGGCGAACCTGAGCCTGGCAGGGGGGGGGCACAGCCTCAGACTTCGTGCCTGTTACTCCTCACACCCTCATTCAGGGACTGGCTTTGACTCAGGAAGGCAAAATGCAAGACTGGGGCTGGAGGAGAAGGAAGCCAAAGGGGGCAGGTGCCTCCTGCGGGTTCTCTGTCCTGGATCCCGACCTCTCCTGCCTAGGCCCATGAGCCTGGAGTGAAGCAATCCGAGGGCCCCGGAGCAGCCCCAGATGGGATGGAAGGTGACGAGGATCTTAGGTGCAGTTCCTCCTGGAAAATCCTAGACTGTACATGAGTACAGAGAAGGCGATTGTTCCTCTGTGCTTATGCCTCTAGGGTGAAGAGTGTGGCAGAATGCCTCTGGGTAGCACAGGCTGGCCTAACCCCCTAACGGTCGGGTTACAGGCGTATATACTACCATGCCTGCTCCTCTTCTTCCCACTTCTAGGCCCAGGTATAGAAGTCTCCACGATCGAGGACTAGGAGAATGGCAACACCTAGCATTCATTAATTTTTATTTTTTTTAAAGATTTATTTATTTATTACATATACAGTGTTCTGCTTGCATGTATACTTGCAGGCCAGAAGAGGGCACCAGATCTCATTACAGATGGTTGTGAGCCACCATGTGGTTGCTGGGAATTGAACTCAGGACCTCCTGAAGAGCAGTCAGTGCTCTGAGCCATCTCTCTAGCCCTCATTAATTGTTTATTAATACAAGGCACTGGCTCATTTTTTTAAGCATATTGTATAAATTACTTTTTATAAGGCCAGAGAAATGGTTCGGGGTGTAAAGGTGCTTGCCACCAAGCCCAACAACCTGAGCACATACGTTCACACGCGTGAACACACATGGTGAACACATGTGTGAACACACATAGTGGAAGGAGAGAACCAACTCCTACAAGTTGTCCTCTGTTCTCTACACACGAGCCGTATGTGGCACGCACCCTCACCCACCCCTTGCACATTCACACACAGATGCACACATAAAATATTTTTTAAAAAATTTCTTAAAAATAAAAATTACTTCTCATAGTGCTGGAGAGATGACTCAGTGGGTAAAGAGCTTGCTGTGCAAGTATAAGGATCAGAGTTCAGGTCCCCAGTGCCCACACAAAAGCCAGATGAAGTACTGGAGTTGAATCCTAATGCCCCATGCCCAGATGTGAGGGAGAGGCAGGAGGTGAGGGTGACACCTGAAGTTGCGTTCTGTTCTCCACATGTGCACTGTGGCAGGTGCACACACCTGCACTCCCCACAGTATGTGTGCAAAGCCAGGCAAGGTGGCACATGCCTTTATCCCAGCACTCAAGAGGCTGAAACAGGCAGATCTCTGTGGTTGAAAGCCAGCCTGGTCTACATGTGAGTTCCAGGCCAGCCAGGGCTACACAATGAGTCCTTATCTCCAAAAACAAAAGTCAATCACTTGGGGTGGTGCATGTCTATAATCCCAGCACCCAGAAGGCTATGACAGGAGGATTACTTTAAGTTCAGGAGTAGCCAGGGCTAGCTGCATAGTCAATTCAAGGCTAATCTAGGCTATGTAGCAAGCCCGTTTTTTAATAATGATAATAATAGAAATAATGTCCATAAGGATCGGCACTATTACTATCACCCTTAGTTAGGAAAGTGAGTTTCAAAAGTGTTAAGAACCCCACTGTGAAGTCTAGGCTGAGGGACCTGTCAGTGCCTGTGCTAGCCTGTGCTAGCCTGTGCTAGCCTGTGCTACTAGCTAGCGTCATTGCTGCCTGGCCATGGGGGAAGAAGGGCTGAGTCCTCAGACGGTTTTATGTTTGTAATATATTTTATAATTGTGCTTTATGCACATGCTCGTCTCTGTTCTATGTGCGTGTCTACCGCGTGTTCCTGGTGCCTACAGAGGCCAGAGAGGGGGTCAGGTGCCTAAAACTGGAGTTAGCGGTGGCTATGAGCCACCACACCAGGTCCTCTGGAAGAGCAGCCCGGTGCTCTTAACCCCCGAGCCCTCTCTCCAGCCCTTCCTTGTTCTGGTTTTGTTCTAAGTCTTTATTACGTTTATTGGAAGAGGGTGAATGGTGCAGCATATTGTGGAGGTCAGAGGGCAGCGTGTGAAGCTGGTTCTCCTTCCACCATGTCAGTTCCAGAGAGCAAACTCAGGCTGCCGGGCTTGGGGGTGAGCACTTCACCCACTGCGCCACCTCGCTGGCCCCTGGTTTGTTTGTTTGTTTGTTTGTATCTTGATAAATTGTCCAGGTTGGCCTTGATGTCCTGGATTTAATGGCTCCTCCAACCTCAGCTTCCTCAACAGCTGGGACTACAAGTGTGTATCCTGTGCCTGGCTGTGCTCAGACACCCAGAGGAGGCAAGGCCAAGCTCCAAGACGGGGTGGGGGACCATTTAGAGATCTCCTGCAAGGTTCAATAAACCTCTGAGGAAAGCCTTGAATGTGGTCCAGTGGCCAGCAGGACTAGACAGGCCGGAAGGGATAGGGTTAAGGTGGCCCCATCCATTTCCCTGCATTTGCCTCTGAGAGCTTCTGTTTTGAATCCTGACCCCACAGCTGGGCCCTCTGCCCCAACCCCCTACCGTGACAGTGAGGGCGTTGGGCTGTGTGAAGAACAGGTCGCCTCCCTTGAAGTCATCATTGAGGTAGAGGAGCCCACTGGAAAGCAGAGAAGACAGGAGGCAGTGAGAGCCCCACCCAGACCCAGGCCTGCCAAAGCAGCCTTTGGGCCTCGTGTGCCTACCTGCCAGTCCCCAGAGAGGCTACCCACCTATAGTCTCGATAGGTGTAGGCTGGGGGCTCCCGCCAGCATTCACCAGTGTCAGGGTCCAGGACACAGTTGTCTGCGTGGACCGGGTGACTCAGGTCCATGCGCTGCTCCTGCTCACCTAGGATGTAACCGATCGAGTGACTAAATCAGGGTCCCCACCATGGGCCTGGAGCCCCTGGGGTGACCAACAGAGAAGCTCCCTGTCCCCAGTAGACCAGCAGGGGGCTCTCTGCAGTGGCGATGGCACCCATACAGATGGGGTTCCCTGATGGTTACCTTCTATGGCAGTTCGGCACACCAGGTGGGTGAAGGAAAGATGCAGTGGCCGCTCCGGGGAGAAGTAAGCCTGAGTCAGGGCCCGCACTCGCTCGCTCACCTCCAGAAGCAACTTAGCACCAGGCCTGCCCACAGTCCCAGCTCGGGCCAGCTGCAGGCAGGGAGAGGTGGGAAAAGTAGGTCTAGCATTAGCACCTGTGTCTCTGACGCTACCATCCTACGTGTGTCTACCGTCTGTCTGGTCACCCAAATGTCTCCTTCCAGCAAACCCATGACAACACCAGGACTCCAGGTCACCGAATACACCCTTTCTCAACCATGGACCAAGCATGCAGTGATCTAGGTCCCCAGAGAATTCCTTCACAGAAGCCCAGGCCTGGAATCCAGCCTCCTGACACAGCCCCTCTTCCCAAGTCCTGGGTGTCAGACCAGGCCAGAGTGCCTCCTCTTTCTTACCTGAGCAGCCTTGAGCACTGTGAGCCCCTCAAAGCGTTCGTGAGGACTATGAGGGGAGCGGCGGCCACGGTAGCCAGACCTGGCTCCAGCCTCAGCTGCATCCTAAATGGGAAGGTTTCCGGTCAGGCATTCCTGGCACACCTCGCTGCCTGGGGGCTCCCAGGGCTCCCGGGCTCTCCTTCTCACCTTCTCAGTCCCCAGAGCTGACTAGGAACTTCCAGAATTTCCTTGTGACTTTTTCCTGAGCTATAACCCTTTCCCAGAATATGGCTCCTGGCTCAAAAAAGCCCTGAACTGCTACTTCCCACGGGGACCATGTGGACATTACCCGGAGAGCACCCCACAGTGGGGAAGAAGGGACCTTGAGATGGAAAGAGTGACAGAGCTGGGGTCCAGGGGAGGAAGTACTGGGTCACCCTTTCCCAGGGAGATGGGGTCCTTCTGCAAGCAGGACCCTAACAGGAAGTCTGACAGGCTGTTATTTGTTTATTTTGGAGAACCTCTGGGCTCCCCAATTCTATTGCCTCTGATGCTGGATCCCTATTACTCAACTGCCTCCCGTGACTCATCTCTCCTTGGCTCTCCCCTGGTCTGGATGTCTAGCTATGAGATTTTCTTTTTCTTTTGAGACAGGGTATCACTCTGTAGCCAAGATTGGCCTGGAAATCAATATGTGGCCTAGTCTGGCCCCGTTTGCAGCAGTTTTCCTGCCTCAACTTCCCAAGTGCTGGGGTCATAGAGTGAATGAACCACCATGCCCCTCAGATATTCACTCTCTAGCTGATTTGTTGAGTCTCTGTGTAAGTCCCACTCCCTCGCTATCCCTACATACAAACCTCTCCCCCGAGAGTCCTCCTAGTCACCAAGTGGTCTAGCTCCTACCTCTACCTCTGCTTCTTCTGCAGTGCAGGGATCAAACCTAGGGGCTAACCAAGGCTAAGCAGTCTCCACCATGAGCTGGCTATACACCAAACTATCTGTTTACATGCATTGACTGTTAGCCTTTTGAGATGGTGTCTCATGTAGCCCAGGCTGGCCTTAAACTTGCTATGTAGCCGAGGATGATTTTGAAGTCCTGATCCTCCTGCCTCAGTCTCCTAAGTGCTGGTTACAGACTGTGCCACCACACCCGGTTTATGTGGTGCTAGAGATCAAGCCCAGGGCTTTGTGCATGTTGGGGAAGCCCTCCACCAAATAAGCTACCTCCTCAGCCCCTAGGGTTTGTGTTTTAAGATAACAAATCAATAGAAAAACCAATTCAGATGGTGATAAGTGGTATGAGGAAAATTAAAGCGGGGTTACGCTGTTACGAGTGTTCATTCGCAGCTACTTAGAGAGGGGACATCTGGATTGAAACCAAATGTCACAGAGATGCCACTGGAATATATGAAATGGAGACCAGTGCGAAGGTCCCGTGGCCAGACTGCGTTAAGAAATGGAAAGACAGGGCTGGAGAGATGGCTCAGTGGTTAAGAGCATTGCCTGCTCTTCCAAAGGTCCTGAGTTCAATTCCCAGCAACCACATGGTGGCTCACAACCATCTGTAATGAGGTCTGGTGCCCTCTTCTGGCCTGCAGACATACACACAGACAGAATATTGTATACATAATAAATAAATAAATATTAAAAAAAAAAGAAATGGAAAGACACTCCCCAAACAAAACAAAACAAACAAAGCCAGGTGGTGGTGGCGTGCCCTTAACCCCAGCACTCAGGAGGCAGAGGCAGGTGGATCTCTGTGAGTTCAAGCTCAGCTTGGTCTACAGAGCGAGTTCCAAGACAGGCTCCAAAGCTACACAGAAAAACCCTGTCTCGAAAAACCAAAACAAAATTAGAAAAGAAACAGAATGCCATCTTGATGTTACCCCTGGTGTCGTTTTATAATTATCTCCTGCAGACTAAGCCTTAGCTTTTCTAACTTTTATTCCTTAGTGTTCCTTGTCTCTCTCATATGTTCCCCCAGGCTCTCCTCATTCCCTTGAATAAAACCAGAACCTAAGGCCACAGTCTCTTCTAGAGACTGCCACTAGAGGGGGCTCCCGAGTCCACAGGATGCGGCATTGGATGGTCTACACTCTGAAGAAAACCGCTGAAATCCATCAGCAACTGTCCACAGTCTACCAATAAAGCTGAGGCTCCCGGGGAGGGAGCAGAAGGCCTTCCCACCCATAGGCCATCACCCAAACGCTCTCCCTCTTACCCATAAGCCCTCTTGATAAAAGGCAGCAGAATGCAGCTGCTCAGCTTCTTGGGCACTCTCTTTACTCTCCTAAAAGCTTCACAGTGTTCTAATTTATTTATCAGGAAAACACCAAGATAGAAACATGATAAATCCCAGTTTACACATGGGGAACTAACTCAGACATTTAAATAAACAAACAGGTAACTGTTTATTTAAATTGGTATACACCTTTAACCCATGTTTTCCTGCAGTTCCTAGAAAGCACTTTGTTAGTCCTTCTTTTTTTTAAAGTTTTTATTATCATTTTTTTTAATGTGTATTGGGTTTGTTTTTTTTTTTTTTTTTTTTTTTTGTTTTTTGTTTGTTTTTTTTTTTTTTTTTTTTTTTTTTTTTGGTTTTTTGAGACAGGGTTTTGCTGTGGCTTTGGAGCCTGTCCTGGAACTAGCTCTGTAGACCAGGCTGGTCTTGAACTCACAGAGATCTGCCTGCCTCTGCCTCCCGAGTGCTGGGATTAAAGGCGTGCGCCACCACTACCCAGCTTTTACTTACTTTTTTAATCCTAGCACTCAAGAAGCAGAAGCAAGTGGACTCTGAATTAATTCAAGGCCAGCCTGGCCCACAGCATGAGACCCTGAGACCCTGTCTCAAAATGAAAACAGGAAGGATGCTGTGGAACAATCTTTGTACACTGTAAATGTGTATTACTCTCATTGGTTAATAAAGAAGCTGATTTGGCCAATAGCCAGGTAGAATAGAGCCAGGTGGGAAATCCAAGCAGAGAGACAGAAAGAAGGCGGAATCAGGGAGATGCCAGTAGCCATGGAAGCAAGATGTGAGGTAACAAGTCACAAACCTCATGGTAAAATATAGAACAATAGAAATGGGTTAATTTAAGATGTAAGAGCTAGTTAATAACAAGCCTGAGATAATAGGCCAAAGAGCTTGCAATTAGTATTAAGCCTCTGAGTATTTACTCAGGAATTGGCAGGCAGGAAAGAAACCTCTAGCTACGGGCTTCCACATACAGCTGCACACCTGTATGTACATGTGTGCACCTACAGGCCAGAACACATAAGATAAAAACCGTAGATTATAGCTGAGCGGTGGTGGCACACGCCTTTAATCCAAGCACTTGGGAGGCAGAGGCAGGCACATCTCTGAGTCTGAGGCCAGTCTGGTTTATAGAGAGAGTTCCAGGGCAACCGAGGCTATAAAGAGAAACTTTGTCTCAAAAAATCAAAACCAAAAATATAGTTGATTATAATGATCATACTGGAATCTGCCTGCCTCTGTCTCCCAAATTGCTGGGATTAAAGATGTGTGCTACCACCACCCCGCCCAAATGAACCATTTTAAGAATCCTACCATAGACTCCGTTTACAGGAGAAACACCATCAGAACAGGATCAGGGCAAGAGGATTATTGAATGACACAGAAGAGGCCACCCGGTCTCACCCAGAACTGACACTAAAAATGTTTAAAGGACATTCCACGGTAAGACGATCTCTAAAATCGGGAGGCTTTGTTTTCATGTGTATGCCTGTTTTCACATTATCAATATAGCTTAAACTAGACTTTATTAGCTATTGACTTTAAGTGAGATAATATGAAGAGTGTATCATGAATAAACTCATCATGTTTATACAAAAATCGTAATAAATAAAAAGAGAAAAAAGAACTTTTCCACAGTTGAGATAAAACACAGACATTAGGAGAAACTTGATGGGGCTGGAGAGATGACTGAGTGGTTAAGAGCACTGCCTGGCCTTCTGGAGGACCTGGGGTTCAATTCCCAGCACTCACATGGCAGCTCACAACTGTCTGTATCTCTGGCTCCGGGGGATCTGGTACTCTCACCCAGACATACATGTAGGCAAAACACCAGTGCACATAACAATAAATAAATCTTAGAAAGAGAGAGAGAGAAACTTGAGGCAGACAGAACACTGGGTGGACACAGGCCAAGAACAAGGAGCAGGTGGCTGAACCTGAGTGTCCCTAGCCAGGTGACTGAGCCACACACCATCATACCTTGGCCAGCTGCAGTAGAACCCCACACTCGGCTGGAGTTAGCAGTCCATCCAACACGGCTCGCTCCGACCCATTCAGCTGCTGGGCATCCTGGGTGAGGGTCACACCCTCCAGGAGAAGGACATCTACAGGGGAAAGGACATCCTGGGTGAGGGTCACACCCTCCAGGAGAAGGACATCTACAGGAGAAAGGGGGGCAGAGCTCACCAGTGCTCATATGAAGGGCAGTAGCTGGCAGATTCCAGGCCCTTACTTCTGCCTCCTGATGTTCCCCACCCTGCCTTTCTACCTCTTCACCCCCGCTCCCAGCTCTTGCCCCCTAACTCCTCACATACTAAGGAACTCACCCTTCCAGTAAGGCAAGGACTTGGACTGTGGAGGCTCCTGGTCCCAAGGCCTCTTCTCTTGATCCTCTCTCAGGGGTGAGAGACATACTCAGTCGTCACAGCGCAGACCCATCCTGCCACCTCCCAGCCTGGGCCAACTGCCCCCGCCACAGGCCACCACCTACCTGAGCTTCTCTCTCAGAGCTTCGGGAATGAGAGCTTCTGGGGTCCAAGAATCCTGTGAGCGTCAAGAACAGGGCCATCACCCTTGTGCCTAGCTCCTGGGATTCCTGACTTTAGAATCTGAAGGTCCATATTTAGGTCCTCCAGCTTGCAGAGAGGAAGGCAAACTGAAAAAGGCCTGGACCCATGCCAGGGCCACCTCACAGATGACAGTGTCCAGTGCCTTGAGCTCTAGACCAGACTGTAATAAACAACAACTTCCATCACGCTTACTGTTTGCCAAGTGCTAATAGCTTTATACTTGCAGTGAGATTCTGTGGCTTAGAGTTCGTAATAGTTCCTAAATTCTGATGGAACAGGTAATTCTGGCCTGCTCCTTTCCAGGGGAGGGTTCTGAGACTCAGGAAGATCAGAGAGTAGGGTGGACTTCACACCCTTGTAAGTGGCAGAGTAGGATTTTGACCATCTTTATAGCCCTCACTTTTATTCAGCAGCTCTCTGTGAGGCAGATTTGACTCCCCAGGGGGACATTAGACAAAGTCTGGAGACTACCGGGCTATCAATGTACTGTTGACACCTACTACGGAAAGGTCAGGACAACAGCTAAAGATCCATCAAATGTGAGGACAGCCCCATTTGCTCCTCCAACAAAGAACGCTGGGTCCAAAATAGTTTCCTTCCTTCCTTCCTTCCTTCCTTCCTTCCTTCCTTCCTTCCTTCCTTCCTTCCTTCCTTCCTTCCTTCCTTCCTTTCTTCCTTTTTTCCTTCCTTTGTGCAATGCTGAAGCTAGAACCCTGGACATTTATGTGTGCTGGGCAAGCTCATCACTAAGTCATCCAGGTCCTCAACAAGTCAATAAAAAATACTGCATTATGTTAAGTACTGGCTCCATAATGTTGGGACTGGACTTGGGCCCGTGACTAAAGGAGGGTAATGGATTCAGGAGCAGTGATGCTTTCTGTACTTTTTTTTTTTTTTTATCAGATGGCATAGCTTCAACAACAGGACTGTGGAACATGTGTGATCTTTACAGTTTACAGGTGAAGAAACTGGGATAAGGGCAACCAGGCAACCAGAGGGTATTTGTGGCAGAGAGCCTGCTTCTTAGCCATGCATGATCCCATGACCTTTTTAACTGTACGCACACCGTTCAGGTTCCTGGGAACCTGAGATGCCAGAGTTCTGTAAGTCTGCAGAACGTCCAGCATCACTGTGCCTCACCCTGGGGAGGGGAGCACAACTCCTTACCGGGTCCTTGAAGCTGGTGCCCAGGTGTTCCATGGCATAGTATAGTTGTCTCTTCTCCCCAAGAGATCGCAGGATGAAGCGCTGGATGTCCTGAGCAGGGTAGACGGGGGAATGGAGACATAAGGAGAGGAGAAGAGAAAGCTGGAGAACAGGCCAGCCCGGGGGCCTAGGGGACGTTTGCAAGCTCTTGAGATCCAACCACCAAGTCTGACGGATGCTTCACCTTTCAGAGTGTCTGGGCTCAGAGTAAGAGAGGACCTGAGAGATTCTGTGTGCGTGCGTGTGTGTGTGTGTGTGTGTGTGTAAGAGAGGACCTGAAAGACTGTGTGTGTGTGTGTGTGTAAGAGAGGACCTGAGAGACTCTGTGTGTGTGTGTGTAAGAGAGGACCTGAGAGGCTGTGTGTGTGTGTGTGTGTGTAAGAGAGGACCTGAGAGACTCTGTGTATGTGTGTGTAAGAGAGGACCTGAGAGACTGTGTGTGTGTGTGTGTGTAAGAGAGGACCTGAGAGACTCTGTGTATGTGTGTGCAAGAGAGGACCTGAGAGACTCTGTGTATGTGTGTGTAAGAGAGGACCTGAGAGACTCTGTGTGTGCGTGTGTGAGTGTGTGTGTAAGAGAGGACCTGAGAGACTCTGTGTGTGTGTGTGTGTGTGTGTGTGCATGAGTAAGAGAGGACCCGAGAGACTCTCTGTGTGTGGACATGTGCACACGTGTGTGTGTGTGGACATTCACACCCACAGACAGGCAGACATGATACTAAGGGGAAAGAATAGTGCTGGGATAGACTCCCAAGTGGGTAGGGGGCAGGGAGCTGAGGCAGAAGTCAGAACCCAGACTTGGGTGTCCTTTCGGTGGCTAAAGAGCTTGGGTAAGAAGCCAGAATGAGCTGAGTGTGGTTTGTACCCTTTAAATCCCAGCACTCAGGAGGTAAAGCAGGCAGATCACTGTGAGCTCCAGGACAGCCTGGTCTATTAGAGTTCCATACCAGCCAGATTTACACATTGAGACCCTATCTCAAAAAAATAAATAAATTTGGGTTGGAGAGATGGTTCCGTAGTTCAGAGCACATGTGATCTTGCAGAGGACCCAGGTTCAGTTCTCAGCACCCACAAGGTGACTCACAACTCCATCCCAGGGATCTTCATTCCATCCCATCCCATGCCCTCCTTTTCATTGTTGTCGTTCATGTTTGTTTGTTTTGAGATAGGGTTTCACTATACAGCCCTGGCTGTCCTAGAACTCGCTCTGTAGACCAGGCTGGCTTCAAACTCACAGAGATCCGCCTACCTCTAACTTCTGAGTTGCTGGGATTAAAGAGCCAGATCCATGCTCTCTTCTGACCTGTGAGGGCACATATATAGAGCACACATGCAATAAAATAAAATAAACAAATAATTATAAACAAATAAAAAACAAAATAAATAAAGAAGCAAGAACGGAATACACTCTTGGGTCTTTGGCTTGCTCTAAGCCCTACCTATCAGTGAGCGTGGGTGAGGGATTACCTCTCGAGGTCCCAGGCCAGGTCTTGGCTCTCCCAGCTGAGTTTGGTACTGGTTCAGAGCCTTTTTGGCAGCCTCATCCTCTGGGTAGAAGAGCAGGACACTCAGGATACTTTCCATGGCCTTAGACACGTTCCCCACTGGAGATGGAGGGCAGTGGGAGGGGGACAGCAACAAACACAACAGAACAAAGAAAGCCGAGGGTCACCAGAAAGGCTGCCAACTCCAAGAAGCCCCAGCCTGACTGGGAGATGAACTCACTTCCAAAAGCATCCTCAAACATACCTTCAATGGCAGAGCCCAAAGAAGAGGAAGAGGGGAGGAAGTAAAGGAAGACAAGAAGCAAGGAGGGGGGGCTGGAGAGATGGCTCAGCGGTTAAGAGCATTGCCTGCTCTTCCAAAGGTCCTGAGTTCAATTCCCAGCAACCACATGGTGGCTCATAGCCATCTGTAATGGGGTCTGGTGCCCTCTTCTAGTCTGCAGGCCTATACACAGACGGAATATTGTATACATAATAAATAAATAAATATTAAAAAAAAAAGAAGCAAGGAGGGCTGAAGGAGCCCAGTGACCCATCTCCTGAGCTCTGCACATGGTGCCAGAGGACTCCATGCTGAAGCGTTGGTCCCCATGGCCCCCGACAGTGAAACTCTCAATGCAGAGTGGGGTGAGAAGAAGGAGGGACAGATAGGGTTCAGAATGGCAGCAGAGACACATCTTCACTCCCAGGGTTCATCCTTCCCAGGCTGACCCTGAGCATAGGCCTCATGCAGTCTTCTCAGCTGGTTGGGAATGAAGTCAGGGACAGGGAAGTCGCGACCAGGACGGGTGGCTGTATCTGCCACACAATGCTGCCGGCACTGCAGGACCCGGACCCAGTGTCCTGCAGAGAAGACAAATGAGCCATAGGCTGTGCATGTTCCTCCCCTGGCATCCGTGCTCTCCCGTAGCACACAGTCCAGCCCCTCACCTGCAATGGCTTCATACAGGCCCCCCTGGCTCCCTTCTTCCACCTCCTCTTCAGACACCTGCTGTTCCTCGGGTCCCTCACAGCCAGCACGACAGCTCTCCATATGGGCTAGGCTCCCCTGGAGGGCCTCCTCCAGTTTGGGCAGTGCCAGTGCCACCTCCTGCTGCACCAGTAGCTCCAGGCCAGTGTCATAGGCTGCCTGTGGGGGAAGAGAGCAAGATGGGTGGTGGTGGGGTATCAATGAGATTGGGAGGTCGAAGAGCATGGTGACATGTGCTTTTAATCCTGGCACACAATTGGATCTCATGGACTTTGAGGCCAGCCTGGTTGACATAGTGGGTTCCAGGACAGCCAGGGCTACACAGTCAGACCCTGTTTCAAAAAGAAAGATAGGCTGGGCAGTGGTGGCGCACGCCTTTAATCCCAGCATTTGGAAGGCAGAGGCAAGTGGATCTCTGTGAGTTTGAGGTTAGCCAGGGCTACACAGATAAACCCTGTCCAAAAAGAAAAGAAAAACGAAAGAGAGAGAGAGAGAGAGAGAGAGAGAGAGAGAGAGAGAGAGAATGGCTAAGGAGATGGCTCGGCGTTAATCCTGCTGCATGGACCCAGAGGAAGAACAGTGTGGCCTCAGAATCAGAACGTTGGAACAGCACACACTTTAGTGGCCACAGAGAAAGCTAGTGAAAGACTCTTCACCTGGGGCCACTGAGAAACAGTACCAGATCTCCTGATGCCATAGCTGCAGATGGTTAGAGTTGGCAGCTGTCAGTCAGCACTGAGAGGCTCACCCAGTAGAGGGGTGTCACCAGGTCCTGGAAGCTCTGGGGGCGGATCCCAGACATTCTTCTGTACTTAGCCATGTCTTCCCGCATCTGCAAGTGTGTTGGGTTTGCCACAAAGAAGGTGTGTGCTGCAGAAGCGGCCAGGTCCAACTTCTTCAACTGAGGAGCCAAAGGGATGAGACATCAGAGCCCCGAGGTGCATGGGGGGGGGGGAGTTCAGACCAATGTCCCCTCACCAGCCTTTGTCCCAGGTAGAAACCACCGAATCCCTCGGAAGCCAGAAGGTGGTTATTCCCAGAACTCTGGTACAGGAAGAAAGGCGGTCTGAAAGCTTTGGCGTGGGTGGGCCATGGGCAGAGGCCCTCAGAGCCTCGGTTTGGGAGACAATGAAGTGAATGGCCGCCGAAATAGATGGGGCTGTGCGGAAGACCTTGAGTGACCAGAATCTGCAGGCCTCTAGGACCCTGAGCTGAGGTGTGTGTAACTAGAGCCCCTCCTGCCTCCAGCCACGTAGGCATTCACTACCATCCTGGTAGCTGTTCGCTGTCTCCTGCCAGAGTCAGATTCCAGCCCCAACCATGCTTCCTTCTCCAAATCTGACCTCCCTCATTCAGCCTTTCCGAAGGTTCGTCCTGTCCCGAGAGAAGGTTCACAGTCAGACTCCCACTCCTAAACATATCACACACACACACACACACACACACACACACACACACACACACACACACACACACACTTCATATTCTGCTGTGTCTGGTTTGGGCCCTCACCATCTGCTTTTCATACTTAGGAAGAGGCTGGGTTCACTCACTGAGATCCGCTAAAATAAAACTGCGGAGCCCTCCCTCCGCGTTCGACCTACTCCCATTCCTCTTCATTCCGGCTTGACCTCTCTTTTGGCCCTACCTCTGCGACCATCACAAGTCCTGGCCACCGTTTTTTGATGGTACCCACTCAAGTGTAGAAGCCCGTTATACGCCCCCACGACTCCACCCCTGAGACCGGACGCTGAGCATCCTGCCCTCTCCTGGTCAGCTCCAAGTAAGACATCCCCTTGGCTTAGGGTAGCACCCTCGGGGGCTCCCGCACCTGGTAGTAGGCCCTCTGCAGGTAGTTGTAAGGCTCCCGTCGGCGGAAGGCTTCCCGCAGCACACTCCCCATGCGGAGTCGCGCTGTGCCCCCCGGGCCCAGCCTGCGCTCGGCGCATTGGGTCAGGCACTCGGCGCGACGGAGCGTGGCTCGCAGGAGCAGCGGCTCCCAGGCCCGGGGCCCGGAGGCAGACTGCGGGACGCCAAGGAGCTGGCCGGGAAGCTCGGCGTCAGGCTGGGCCGCACAGCTCGCCCCGCAGTCCCGCCGCGCGCGGCCCAGCGCCTCCCGGCTCCGCAGCGCCTCTCGCAGCAGCGCCACCGCGGGTGCCCAAGCCCCGGCAGAGTAGGCTCGCAGCCCGTCCGCGAAGAGCAAGTCGGGGGCCTGGGGAGGCGCCCCCGGCGACAGTGAGGCCAGGCCCGGGGGCTCGGAAGGCTCGGGGGACCCTGAGGGAGGCAGCAGCAGCAGCAGCAGCAACCTCACGAGCCGGAGCATGGTGCCCAGAGCCGCGGGGCCCACTGCCGAAGGGAAATGCGGAGCCCGGAGGGAGGGAGAAGGAGGGGGGTCAGGGGGAGGAGAAGGAAGGAAAGATGGATAGGAGGAGGGAGAGGAAAAGAGGAGTAAGTAAAGCCAAAGAAGCCTGCTGGACCTAGGCCTGCCACAGGGAAAACCAAAGTGAGACGGAGTGAGAATTCCGAGGGACAAATGGGTCTAGTGTGGGTAAGAAAAGGAAATGGAGACAGGAGGGTGAAATAGGGGATCTGGGAGGCCTGTGGTGTGGGGATAATTTTGTTCCCGTTTATCCTTGGGTCCCGGAAAAGAACTGTGGACGCCCCTCACACGTGTATCTAACCCACACTTCTGCCAGCCCATCAAAGGATGTTTGGGCGGCATCGTGGAAAGGGATGACTCCGGGCTTGGGACTCCAATCTGGCCCCAAAACTTTTCACCCAGCAAGGGCGCACCCGGGCGCCTTTAGGGGAGAAGAGGATTGAACTCTTCTACTAATCTGCACACAGATCCTTTGCATTTCAAACTAGCACACTCCAGTGTCCAGGACCCCACCCCAGCGTCACGTGCCCCGAGTCCGTCCCTCCTGTCTGCGTGTTGACCGATCTCCTTCTGTGCCTCTTTCCCCTGCCCTTTCTCCATCTTGTCCTCTGTGAGCCACCCTTCCTCCTCCAACCCCCCCCCCCCAGACAGTACCCTTTGCTACCGCAGACGCTGGAGACCAGGGTTTCCATGGCAATACTTCAGCCTTTAATACGTTTTTGCTAGGGGTAAAGATGGGTGAGTAGGGTGTCTGGTCACTTGGATGGGAGAGAGCTGGGGCCCTAGAGCCCAGATCTAGCGCCCATCTCCTCGGAGGCAGCTGCCATAGGCTCAGGGCCAGAATGAGGAATACTCACCCATGCCCCCTCCTCTGAGTTAAGCAGGCTCATGTAACCTCACAGGGTCAGCTGAGGGAAGATGGGGTTGCCTGGGCCCCAGGGTCTTCCCCAAGCCCTTGAACTCCCCTCGCTCCCTGTCAAAGAGCAGCGTCTCCCCGCACTTAGCCCCAAAGGAAGCCCAACAGCTTGGCTATCAGGAGACCCAAGGGAGAGGCGTCGAGGTGAAAAACCCAGTGGCCTGGGCCTACGAGGAGAGGGTCCTGGTGAGGCAGTTGGAGAAGGCAGAGGTGTCTCATCGATGAAAGTGGTGATCTCCTCTCGGAAGAAACCAGGGCCTCGTGGGGGTCCCCCACCTGACCCCAGAACCCCACTTTCTAGGAACTGGCGAAGACTGGCTAAGCCCCCGCCTTCAGCCTCTTCCTCATCCTCCTCATCCTCCAGCCTGTGTCTCTGTCCCAGGTATTCAGGAGGGCCCCCAAGGGCTCGGCTCTGGGCTGGGAGGACCCGGATATCATCGGATGATGACCATTTGTGCAGGAAGGAGCCTGGTGCCCGAGGGGTAGAAAAGATGTTGGTCTCATCATGGGACAACCGGCGGGACAAAGGGACCTGGGAAGAGGAGGAGGAGAGACCTGGAGGTGCTGCGGAAATAAAGGTAGCAGAAAGCAAAGAGGGGGACTCTGCAAGATGGCTTCAGCGCTTCCGTTTCTGCAAAGCGGTTGCTCTAGCAGGCAAACCTGGTTCTGAGAGACCCGAGGGAACCTTTCCTTCCCTGGTCTTTCCTTCATCTGTCCCGTGGGGCACCCTGCTGTCCAGAGCCATGGAGTAGTGGTGCAGGGGACCAGAATGAGGGGATCTTCCTGCCCCATACCTGTAAGTAGTGTACTCTCTCGAGAGGCGGGAACAGCATGTGCCGTCCAGGCAGCAGTTTCACCTGGCTGGGGTCCCGACCCCCTGACCCTGTGGCCCCATTGGCATCAAAGCGAATTTTGCAGACTCGGCCGTCTGTGTAGTCATCACAGGCTCCATCTAGGAGAGAGAAACAGCAGAGTGGTCACAGGCAGAGAACCCTCACCACCTCCCCATCCCCATCTCAAGGTCCAGGAGGACCAAGGGAATGGCTGGCTTTGTTACAGCCACTGAGACCCCTGGTCCTTTACACAGATTTTTTTTTTCTTGTTCTTCTCCAAGATTTGTCCCAAGATCAGGGACTCTCTTTCAGGAAGTTTGGCTCCCCTTTAAGGTCACACTTTTTTTTGCATTAGGACTGAGGATCCTTTCTCTGGAAGTCTACTTGGCACAGACCAAGCTGGGCAGTGTAGGCCTCTAGAGAGGAGCAGAGGCCTAGTGGAAAGTGCAGAAAGAAGCAAGGCTGGGAAGACAGCATCATCAGGCTATGGGGAGACTGGAACTGGCTCCAGTTCAGCCCAGTAGGGGGCACCCCAGGGCAGCACATCTCCTCAAGGAGAAGGGCAATAGAAAGGACAGAAAATAGAGGTAGCTGTCCAGGAAATACAAGTCCCCATCCCTCCTCTGACCGTCATCGCCATCGTCCTCCGACATGATAGCCACACACTGCTCCCACACTGTGCGCACGTCAGCGCGGTAGCGCTCACAGGACCAGATGAAGGAGGGCAGGAGCAGCGTCTGTGCCATGGAGCACCACAGCACAGCCAGCACCATCCATGGTGGAGCCGAGTCGGACTTCAAGGAGAAGAAGCTCACCACCTGGCAGGGGAGACGGAATGACTGGTCAGGTGTGAAGACCGACCGAGCCCTCACCTAAGGCTGATACCCACCCCTAATGCAGGAGAGTAGGAAGGGAGGTGGGGGGAGTAAGGAGGACCTGAATGAGGAAAGTCAGGAAATGCTATAGACAAAACCCTGGAGTTGGGGGGTTGAGCTGGGGAGAGACCGACAGAAGCAGAGACAGACATACAGAGAGACAGAGACCACAGAGAGACTTGAGACCACAAGAAACGTAAAGATTGGGGGAAACCCAGGAATGGGGCCTGGATAGTGTGACTGTGATTGCCAAAGGGAATTAGGGACTAGATAGTGCCTCTGGGCAGCTGGACGTCAGGCTGAACACTGGAGGGGCAGGATAGAAGATGGAGCTGCAGACTAGGAACAGAAATGATGGAGCTGGGAGACTGAGTAGTGAGAGCTTAGAGATGGGTGACAGAGACAGGGAACCACAAATGCCGGGAGGAAAGGACAATGGCGGAAACTCCTGCGTGGCCGATAGAACCGGGGGGGGGGGGGACCTGAATATTAAGAACAGGTCAAGGGACCTCAGTCTCACCAAGATGGGCACCCCGGTGAGTGAGTCGTAGAGAAAGACGATAGCGCTGACCAAGTTGGTGACCTGCAAAGACGTCTTGGCAGATTCCGAGCCATCCAATGAGGATCGCCGCTTCCCTCGAGTATCCTCCACCACAATGGCTGGCACCTCAAAAGCCGGCCGGGTACCCAAGCCCCCCAGCCCGCCCACTTTGGCTCCCATACTGCCCCCAGCTTTCCGGGCCTGCCGAGCCCTCCGGGGCCGGGCCCACAGTGTCTGATAGAAAGTGATAGCCACGCAGACCAAACCCATGACAATGCCCCCAAGAAGCAAGAGGCTGAAGCAAACACCAAAGCCGAGACCAATCTTGGAGACTATGAACTGGCAGCCTCGGGCATAGTAGCGCTCGCCGTTGTTATGCCAGCCTATGGAGGGCAGGGTGGAAAGGATGAAGCTGACCATCCAGATGCCCATGACGGCATGCAGGGCCTGCTTCTTGGCGTTGCTGAGGCGGTAGTTGACGGGCCAGCGCACCATCCACATGCGATGGTAGGAGAGCGAGGCCACTGTGAAGCAGGTGGCCAGGGCCAGCGTGTAGTAGGTGGACACAAAGACCTTGCAGATGCTCTCGTTCCAGTCATAGTCAGAGGACGCCTGGCGCCGGAGCTGCACCACGGCAAAGGTGGTGAGGGGCACAGCCGCCATGAGTATATGCGTGCCCGCCAGGAAGCAGAGCAGCAACTCCAGCGGCTTGTGCTTCTGCTGTTTGGCCGAAATGCTAAGGATGATCCAGGCATTGGCCAGCAGGGCCAGGAGCCCACAGGCCAGCCAGGACAGTGCGTTTGAGCGGAGGGAGGCCTCTTCTGCCCCCAGGGCACCCCGAGCCATCCTAGTCTCAGCCCCACCCCCACCCCCTTGAACTCCTGGGGGCGGGGGCTAGGTCTCACCCTGGAGCCCCGCTCACACCCACCCCCATGATGCCCACAATCCTTGCCCTGTAGCCAGGCAAGCTGACCCCAAGTCTCCTTTACTGCTCAGCATTGCATGAGGGACCCAGCTAAGGCCGTGGGCAGGGCAGGGCAGAGCAGAAGACTCAATAGACGTAGTGGTCCTCAGCCTCCATGTTGGTGGGGCTCCTTCTTAATTATCGCTGTCACTGATGAGGGGAGCAAGCTTGCTGCTTCCCCATCTCTGAAACTGGCTAGGGACCTCTGATTCCCATGCTGGGACTTCCAGATCTGCCTCTCCAGGGAGTCTTGACCAGTCAGGTCTGAGGGGTGGAGCTCAGTCACCTGGATGTGCTGTGTGGGAAGAGCAGACAGACGGAGGGGTCAAGAATTAGGCCTGTGCTGTACTCTAGTTCACACGTGTCCTTCCTTTCTCTAGAAAGGACTGATGGCTGAGGGGCACTGGGGTCATTCAGAGCCTTAAATCGGATGCCTACTTACCACACGGATAAGGCCTCCTAGACTTGCAGACTATGTGGGATAAGTCTCACTGTCTCCATCTTTTTTAGCACTTTCTTCCTGCTTTGGAATTCCAAAGTTCCTTCTTATAATAGCCTGTGCTCAGAGCTCCCCACCCCTGTCTGCGCATCCCCAGATCCTTCTTCAGTTGCTGATAGGAGACAGTTGATGTGTTCCTTCTTGGGGGTTCACAGCAAAGCAAGAGCCCTTCTCTTGCAGGCCATTCTCCTAGACCTGCAGCCTTCCTGCTCGGCTCCCTTCTCTAAGCCTGGATGTTCAACCGTTCAGCTGCCCGAGGAAAATGGGAAAAAGGAGGCTGGGACTGAAGTGGGGGTAGCTAGGGAACCTGAAGGCGGGGAAACCACTGACATCAGAAGCATCCAGAAATGGAAAGAGGGGGAACTAGGGAGAAGGAGGAGAGTTTGAGCAGAAAAGAAAGAGGGGAAAGTGGTAGTATCTGAAAATAGAAGGTTCAGAAACCCCTGGGGAGGAGCCATTGGAGGGAGGGGCGTGGGAAGGAGGGTTATGGAGGTAGGGGAGCAGCAGGACAGAGAGCCTGAGAACAGGAGCTGGACCTTCATATACTGTCCTCGCTAAGAGACCTTGGGTCTCCTCCTCTGGCCCCGAGCCTCAATTTCCCTCTGACGGGAAGGAGGAGGGGGGCCCTGATCTTAGTGACACTGTCCAGTGAGACCTGGGGAAGACACTAGGAAATCAAGTCAACGCTGAACAGAGAGGCTGTAAGGACCGGCGTAAGGGCTTCGGGGCAAACGGGGGTGGGTTGGGGAACCGGGCACAGCTGTGCCAACGTCTATTTCCCCGAGGAGGAACCTCAGGCCCTAGCTCTCCCCAAGAGGTCCCAGTCCTACCCCCAGCTTTGTCTCCCCCCCCCTTCCAGCCCAGTACATCCTAGTTGCCATGGCAATGGACAGCCAGGGGGAGGTGTAAGGAATAGGTTCGGATGCCCCCCACTGCTCTCCCCTACAGCCTTTGGACCCCTTCCCACCCACCCTCACCCCCACCTCCACCCCCAGACCCAGTTGGTGGTTCCAAATGAGAGAGGGAGAGTCAGAAAGGGAGGGAAGAAGAAAGACGTGAAGGACAGACAGAAGGAGATGAAGGACAGAGAGAGATAAGGGAAGGAGGGCTATTGGGGGCTTCCTGGCCGACAGGGGTCCCTCGCCCTTCGCCTTGATGGGATAAGGTCAGGTGGCTCCACCCTCCTGTCACCTAGGGTGTTCTCCGGGGCAGAAACAGCAGGTGGCTGGGGAGGAGGGGGCGGGGAAGAGGGGAGCGGAGGCAGCTGGCTGGGCGGGGTGGGGGGGGGTGAAGCGGAGATACGCTGGGGACCGGGCAAGGGTCCTCTTACCTCTGGCTGCGTCCTTCTCCGCTGGGGAGGCTCGCCCGGGCTCCCGCCGCCTGCCGGCTCCAGCTCGCCAGCCCTCCTCCTTCCTTCGCTCCCTCCCTCCCGGCCTCCTCCCCACCCCCTCCAGTCCGGCCTCTCAGGCTCAGCCCGCGGCGCACTAGCTTGCGGCCCCTCGAGGCCCCTGTCTCCCGGGGTCATCGGCCTCCGAGCCCGGGGTTAGGGAGCCGCTAGCCAGTCTTGGGGTCGGGGGGTGGCGAGGGTGGGGCGGGGAAACTGGACGGCGGTGACTTAGAGGAGGAGGAGGAGGGGCAAGGAAGGAACGGAGAGGGAGGGGGCGAGGAGGACGGCGGGGAGCGGGCTTCATTGGTGAAGCAGTTGGTGTCCTGCCCCCACCCTGTCCCTTTTTTTCAACACGAATGAGCCCATGAGCCCGAGGAGGCAGCTGGTGTTGTTAGGGACTGAGGAGCTAGCTGTTCGGGGTGGAGGAAGCATGTGTCACCGCGTGTCACTTTGCGCATCCTTGTGGGGGCTGTTCTTGGGTAGAGCTCAGAGGGGCAGCACCTGAAGAAGGGCTGCTGGAAGCTAAGGGTGCTTGTGATGCCAGCAAGCTAAGACCGCTTGTGAAGTTGGGAGGTGGTGGCATGGATCAAAACGGATGTGGGCTCTTGGTACACCTGTGCACCCCTCTTTCTCCTCCCAGAACGCAAGCGTACGTTTACGATGAGGACACACAATTGCCACACATTACAGTTTCTCATGTCCTCTTCCTCTCCCATACACAGACGGCAGGAGGGACACATCACACCACAGTCTCTCGGTGAACTACAGAGTCACACGCAGGACTTTTGGGATGAGGAGGTGGGAAAGCAACCTCTAGAGAATTCTTCCTTCTCCAAGCAACTTTATCTTCTTTCTGGGCCAGGCCCAAAGATTCCTGGATCTCCAGAGAAGTAAATGCCCTCCCATACACACGCGCGCGCGCACACACACACACACACACACACACGCGCGCTCACACACACACACATTACACACACACTCACGTGCGTGCACACACACACGAAGTGCATTTTACTTATAGCCTTTATTTTTCTGTTCGCTGAGGGAGCAGGAGCGGGCAGTGGAAACAAATCAAAAGTAAGCAGTGAGGAGCCTGGCAGCAATTGGAAAAGGGGGCGCACTTTCTGGAAGAGGCCATGTGGGGAAAAGGAGGAAAAAAAGGAATGGGGTCAGAAGAAAAAAGGAAGGCGCTAAGGCAGGAGAGTGAAAAGAAGCCAAGGAAGCTGAGCATCTGAGAGAAGCTGATCAAGACTGGCAGGGAGAATTCTTATAACCCTGACTTCCCTGGATGCCTGGCAAAGGGGAAAAGCATGGTCAGCTTCTCCAAGGATCTTCTCAAAAGGCACCGGAACACGGCTCCCTTTCCGGGCCCTGCACACACTGAGTGGCGGGCTCTGCACACACACAGTGGCAGTCTCTGCACACACTGAGTGGCAGGCCTCTGCACATTTCTTTTGGCCTTCCTCTAAGAGAACTGGGGTTTTGCCCTCCAGTAAAGGAGTCCACAAGCAGCAGTGGTCAAAGAGGGACTCAAACAAGGACCACTCCTCCACCTCCTCACGATCTAGAGACCCGCCATCCTGCACGTGGTGTGCCTGCTTCTATGCTCCCAAGGTGCATACTGGGTGCCCGTGACCAGCTCCAAAGATCTGCCTGGCATTCACTCCTGTGTCGCAGATAGTGGCTCCAGGGATCAGGAGCCTTGGGTTAATCTTGATATCTACAGTAGTTAGCTCTGCAACCTTGGGCAGTCATGCAGCCTTAATTCCATTTTGTTGGAGATGATTGGTCATTTCTGCCATCTTGGTCATCACCGACAGCTCGTAGGATTGCCGTGTGTGTGTGTGAGTGTGTGTGTGTGTGTGTATACATGAGGGCCATGGCACACAAGTGGAAGACAATGTTCAGCTCTCTCCTTCCACCCTCCGGGATTGAACACAGGTCCTCGGGCTTGGCAGCAAGAACTTTTTACAGCTGAACCATTTTGCTTGCCCACACGTAAGGTTCTTATTAGGGTTGAATAGCAAGGACATTAAACTGGCTTATTTAACTATGGATAAGTGTATGGCTATGTGCAGAGGTATGTGGCCTGGGGGTGTGTTGGTGCATTGGCCAGAATGTGAGTCTGGTCCTCTCACAAAGTGAGAAGCAGGCAGTATGGGGAGCTGAGGCTGATTTCAGCAGCCTTTGGGTCTCCATCTGTGCTTTGATTGACACAAGTCCCCACTCAGTCTGGCCCCAGGGCCCTCTCTTGTGAACTGTGCTGAATATTTCCACATGCCAGCCCCACCACCCATGTTTGGTTCTGGGCACTGCCCTTAGATCCAGACAACTGGAAAGAGGTTCTGAACAGCAGTCAGGGAAGAGCTGAGGTTTTGGTGAAAAGGACGCTGGGAAAAACAAAGTGTGTTTAAGTGTCTGAAAATCAGAGAGCAAGCTCTACTTTGGGCTTGGGAATAGAGAGAGGAGCAGTGGCCAGTTCTGGAAGAGGAGGGCAGGAGGCCAGAGTAATGGGTCTGCTACATTCTTCTGGTCCACAGGCCTCAGCAGCCAAGACGCAGGTGGTCGGCTGCAAAGGGGCCTCAGCCTCAAATGAAATTCTGAGTCTTCTGCATCCGGCTGGAAGAAAAAGAATAAAGGAAGCAAATCCATTCTCCCAACCCCACGGTGTGCTGTGGCCGCCATGGTTCCCAGACCCCACTCTTGTCTTGGAGCACAGTGGTACCAATGGACAGCGCTGTAGTACCTGTCCAGACCTGCCACAGCCTCTGCCACCCCTGCCCAGACCTGCCACAGCCTCTGCCAGCCCTGTCCAGACAGACATGCACAGCCTCTGCCACCCCTGCCCAGACCTGCCACAGCCTCTGCCACCCCTGCGCAGACCTGCCACAGCCTCTGCCACCCCTGCCCAGACCTGCCACAGCCTCTGCCACCCCTGTCCAGACCTGCCATAGCCTCTGCCACCCCTGTCCAGACATGCCACAGCCTCTGCCACCCCTGCGCAGACCTGCCACAGCCTCTGCCACCCCTGTCCAGACCTGCCATAGCCTCTGCCACCCCTGTCCAGACATGCCACAGCCTCTGCCACCCCTGTCCAGACCTGCCACAGGCCCCCACCGCCCCGTGGCCTCTTCTTTACTCCATCTACTTGCTCACTCTTCCTTGAACCTCCTTTTCTTCTCAACTCCTTCATTTTGCCTCCCTCATGGGTTTTCTTCCTTCCCGTTCTCCCTTCCTCTCTCCCTCCGCCTCTTCTCTCTCCCCCTCCTATCTCCCTCCTTTTCTCCTTCTCTCTTCTCTTTTCCCCTTTTCTCTCCTTACTCTGCCCCCCTCTTCTTTCTCTCCCTCCTCCCTCTCCCTCCTCCCTCTCCCTCCTCCCTCTCTCTCCCTCCTTCCTCTCCCTCCTCCCTCTCCCTCCTCCCTCTCCCTCCTTCCTCTCCCTCCTCCCTCTCCCTCCTCCCTCTCAGCCCAGATCCTTACTGGGGACACTGGCAGGTCTTCTTCTCACTCAGGAGCCTCTTGATCTGAGACATCCGTTCTGCCTGGCGCTGCCCAGGGACAAGGAGAGGAGTTGTGAGGGTCCCAGTCCTCCAGGAGGGAGGTGCCCCTTGGAGGGGGGAGAGGGGGGAGCTGGCAGAGAAGAAGCATTTACTGTGGCTCGAGCCACCTGTCCTGTCGTTCACTCTGCTCATTTTTGTGTCTCCCTTCTGACGGGACCAGAGGAACTTCAAGGGCTGGGTTGGGGTGGGGAACGCTAAGTCAGATGGTGCTCAGCTTGTACAAGATGCTGTGCTCAAGGGAGGGCCCAGTGAGGGATGATGGGAGCTTACTCACCTGTTGGTGCCGGCACTTGAGACAGCAGAGGATGCAGAGCCCGATGAAAGCCAGAAAGCCGAAGGTGCCTCCCAGCACGACAGCCAGGAACATTGGCTGGTTCTGGTTCAGCCCTCTGGATAAAACTGAGAGAGAGAGAGAGAGAGAGAGAGAGAGAGAGAGAGAGAGAGAGAGAGAGAGAGAGAGAGAGAGAGAGAGAGAGGGGAGAGGGAGGAGGTATTTGGGGGGGGATATAGCACTGGTGGAGGGAGGCCCTGTGTTCCACTCCAAGCACTGCCAAGAAAGAGAGAGAGAGAGGAAGAGAGAGAGAGTCTTGCCTGTGGATCCAGGTCAGGTAGAAGGGCTGAGGATACAGGCTTCTCAAAGGCCACCAGGCCTCAGGGGTACAGAACAGGGAAGGGAGCGTTGTTTCTTACACAGTTCTCTAGAGAGCTAGAAGCCTGGGGCCTGGTATCAGGCCCTGTGTGTTTGTTTAGGTTTAGAAGGAAGCCATAGCCATGGAAGAGGGAAACTCTTAGCCAGGAAGGCCTCATTCCTAGGCTGTATGGAGCCCAGGACCTGTGTCTTCAGGCCAGTGTATACCCTGTTTCCATGTCTGTCAAAGGAGCTAGGGAGCTGTAACTTTGGGTCAGCTAGGCTAATCCCTGGGAAGGTTCCACAGTTGAAGAGACCAAGGCTTAGCCTTAGGAATGGATTCCTTACTCTGGATTTTGGAGTTCATCTTGACCTCAGTCCCTTCATTCAGGAGACACTCCCACAGCCCTGCCTCAGGGGCCGGCTCTTGGAGCTCCTTCTCCTTGGTAACCTTGCCCTCCCGATTCTCCTTCTTCAGGGTCAGTTGCATCTTGGAGGAGGTGGGTCCCTTCACCTCACAGATCAAAGCGTCATCTTTCTGAGCCACTGCAGAGGAAGAAGCAGAGACACGGAGCCTTTTGCTCAGGGGTCCTTGCACTCTCGAGCTCTAAGTCAGGTGACTCCATAGAATGGGGAAAACAATCCTACATGTGAGTGTCCTTCTAGCTCCTTGAATTGTGTTTTCTTGTAATTGCCAGGGAGAAGCAGCCTGGGACTGAGCTCTCCTTGGATTTGAACCCAAAGTCTTGTTGAACCAGATTTCCTTCTTGCTGCACAAGACCGTTACTCCGCCAGCCCTGGCGTTTGCAGAGACACATACAGTATGTCCCTGGACAAACCGCTTAACCGCTTGTACCAAAGCAGCAAGGAATATTTGCGTGCTTGAGTGTTTACACGGGGCCCGACATATGCTAGTGTCAGGGTTCGCCACTGTTATTTGTAGAGCTGGTGTAATGAGGAGTTAAATACAAATAACTCAGACGCAAGGTTGATGTTACAACCATTGCTATGTGCAAAGACTTTGTGCCATATTAAAAAGATGATGGGGCAGAAGAGATTGCTGAGAGCTTAAAAGTCTGCTGCTCTTCCAAAGGACCCACATGGCAGCTTGTCTATCAAGCTCGAGCTCCGGGGCATCGAATGCTCTTCGGGCCCCTCTATCATGACCTGTACAACACACATCTTCTCATCTTCTCTCTCTCTCTCTCTCTCTCTCTCTCTCTCTCTCTCTCTCTCTCTCTCATCACACACACAGGCGCATACACACACACACACGCACACATGTAAATACATTACATAAATAAAAAATAAATCTTAAGGAGTTGGAGAGATGGCTCAGTGATTAGGAGCACTGGCTGCTCTTCCAGAGCATCTGGGTTCAATTCCCAGCACCCACACGGCAACTCACACCTGTCTGTAACTCCAGTTCCAGGGAACCTGACCCTCACACAGACATAAGATAAAATAAAAATAAAGGCGGCGGTGGTGCAACACCTTTAATCAGGCAGATTTCTGAGTTCGAGGCCAGCCTGGTCTACAGAGTGAGTTCCAGGATAGCTAGGGCTACCCAGAGGAACCTTGTCTCACAAAAACAAAAACCCAAGAAACAAAGAAAGAAAAGGTGAGCAAGCAGGTCCGAGGTTGAAGGAGCTCAGCCAGGGCCACAGGCCATCAGGCAGAGGAAGAACTGGATTCTAGTTGTTAGTCCGATCCTCAGTGGAGCCAATCCCAGGCCAGACTTTAAATGTTGGGGAAGGATGTGTGGATTTCAACCTCAATTTAAAACCACTCCAGGACTGGGTGCCTCTCAGTAATAGCTTGTACATAGCATGCATGAGGTTTTGGTTTCTGTCCCCAGCACCACCACCCCCAAAAAAAGCAAAACCAACAGCAACCTGGAGAGTCCTTCATCATTTAGGCAGACAAGCAGGGTTAGAGCATCCCCCTCCCCATTCTGGGACCTGGCAGGCCATGGAGAGCCTTGGACCTTTGACCCCGGCTTGCCCTTTCTCAGCCCACCCCTTACATTTCATCACCACCAGGTTCACTTGCTGATGCAGTGTTCCTTTGGCCAGAGTTAGAGTCAGGTTCCCAGAGCCAGCGCTCTCGAGTGAGACCTGGGGTATCTTGAGGTGGAGTGGGAGCGTTTCTGCCAGCTGGAGCTTGAGGTTGCCCGTGGTCTTTTGCAGGGACACCTTCTTGTTCTCCAGGGAGAAGGTGATCCAAGGCTGGGGGGAGGGGGCCTTCTCTGTCTTCCACCTCAGCTCCCCCTGCAGATTTTCATCACCAAAGTTAAGGGGGAAGGAAAACTCCACTGCCTCCCCCTCATTCTTAAAGACTGTGGTAGATGCCTTCTGGAAACCTGGAGGTGAGAAGGGAACAGAAATGACTCTGAGTGAGGAGGGAGAGGAAGATGAGGAAGGATATGGCAGAGCAAGCATGTGGCACAGGGATCAGGTCAGTCTGCCCACCACAAGGTTGTCATTTCTCTCTCCTTGGGACCCCTGGAGTCCAGGAACAACTTGACCTCTGTTTAGCATCCTCCAGTCAACATGAAAATAAGGCTTGCTGTGGACAGGCACCGGCCTAGACGCTAGTTCTTTTCTTTCGGATTTTTGAGATATGGTTTTTCTGTGCAACAGCTCCGGATGTCCTGGAACTCACTCTGTAGACCAGACTGGTCTCAAACTCACGGGGTTATCATCATGGGAACACATGCCAGCAAATAGGCTGGCACTGGGGTTATGGTTGAGGGGGCTACATCCTGATCCAAAGGCAAACAGGCAGAGAGCCCACTCTGAGTGACGTGCTTCCTTCAACAAGACCACACCTCCTAATCCTTCTAATCCTTCTCAAAGAGTGCCACTCCCTGGTGACTAAGCATTCAGAAATATGAGCCTATGAAGGCAATCTATTTCTTTTTCTCTGAACCTTTAGAGAATGCCCTGGAACTTGCTCTGTTTACCAGGCTGGCCTCGAACTCAGAGATAATCTCCTGCCTCTGCCTCCCGAGTGCTGGGATTAATGTCACCACCGCCAGACTGAGGGCATTCTTATTCAAACCTTCACAAGCTACAACCACCACTTTACTAAACCAGCATAATCCCTAATGACATTCTAATTATTTGTCCTTATCCCCACAGATAAGTGTAGTTCTCACCCCTCATCAAGGAAACATCTCTTTGCAACAAATGGAGACCTTTAACTGCAGAGGCGTGGAGCCCAATCCCACCTGATCAATCTACGACACAACTCCTTCACCTCTGGCTCGGAAATCATTTCAGAAAAGGCTGTGGGAGGATTGGAAGGGCCAGAGGAACCGAGCGTTTGCCGTGAGATTGTGTCTCCTACAAATGTCAGACACTACACCCATAGAATCTCACCAATGTGGCTGCCTACACCTGATCTGAGCCAGGAGGACACCAATGGACATGCTAATGTGGAAGAGGAGAAAAACAAAACAAAACAAAACAAAACAAAGCTGCAGGCAACCGAGGAATGTTGAGAGCAGGGAAAGAATTTTACCCAGAGAAAAGCACACCAATTAACTGTTCAATACTAAATGGTCAGCTCTGAAAACATGTGCATACACGCAGCATTATACAGACTGAACAAGTAAGTGTGTGTGTGTGTGTGTGCGCGCATGTGCACATATGTAAAACAAAGAAAAAGACACCATGAATATGAAAGAGAGTGGAAGTGGGAGGGTTTGGGAAGAGGGAAGGAAAGAGATGATCTAATGATATTATGATCTCAAAAAAATAAATAATAAGAAAGGACTGTGTGTAGGGCAGAGCTGGGATTTAAAACAGTACCACACAGGATCTGTGTCCAGGCTTCTCCATGATGCCTGGCTCCGGGTGTAGAGAGGCAACGCAGATGCCCTACATGACTGGTTTGCTGAAGGTAGTATTCCTGAGTAAACGGATCTGTGGAGATCAGTGACAAGGACGAGTGTCTTTGCCACTTCTCTACCGTGGACCCTGGAATCTCTCACCTCCCACTTCCCATGCCTTCCTTCTTGTACACTTCCTAGGTGGCTGTAATGGACCCCCCCCCCCGCCCCAAAGCGGAAGCATCCTGAAGACAAACCACAGCTAGAGAAGGACACCCCCATCACCGCTCCAGCAGCTCCTAAAACCAACTTACTAGCAGAGCAAGACTTAGGAGTTCCTGAGCCTCTTACCCAGCACAGAGATCTTCATGGACAGTGTATCACTTTGCTTGTTCACGGCTACCTTGCAGGACCAGGTGCCATCATCCTGAATGCTTAGGTTGGGCACGGTGATGGCTTTAGAGCTCTTGAAATTTCTCTTCCTCGGGCACGTGCACTCCATTGAGAGGTCATTGACCTTAGGGCTGCTTTCCAAGGTCAGGGTCAGACTCTGCCCCTGCAGCAGGTGGGTGCCCGGGCTGACAGTCACTGTGGAAGAAGAAGACCTGCATTACACTCAGCATCTCCAGGGATAAAGGAAGAAGAAAGGAAAAAAAGAGTCCATTATCCCCTCTCCCAACAGTGTCGTCCCCCCCCCCCCCGCTCTCCGCTGCATATTCCCAGCACAAGGCAGGGTTCCCCTCTTCCTCCCTTCCCTTTTTCCTTCCCTTCCTTTCCTTTTCTTTCCTCCCCTCTCAGTCTTTGTCCCTCCCCTGTTAGCCCGAACAGTCTGACCCCTGTGGTCTCTGAGATGAGCTCACATCAGGTCCCGGTTTAGAGCAAGGGTGGAAGGGGGTGTGGGGGGGGTGTCTATGTCCCAGGGCTGCCCCCCTCACCTCTGAACATCAACAGCTCCACCTCTATCTTCCTGTTCTCCACCTCACAGATGTAAGTGCCTGAGTCTTCCATCTTAAGTTTATTGATGACGAGAGGAAACGAACCTTTATCCCACGAGGATTTTCTCGAATCAAAACGGCTGAACCGCTCAGACTGAGCTGTGAACAGAAGCCGAGCAAAGAAAGTTGAGGTGCCCTGGTGCCCTGCCGAGAAGAGTGTCCACCGTTCTGCTGGACTGAGCAGCAGGGTCTTCGCTTCATCCCTCAAGGAACCCCAGACGATGAGAAATCATATCTATTTCCGTGATGGGAACAATATCCCACTAGCTCAAAAATATTATAAAACAATATGCTTATTTGGACAGCACCCACTCTTACAGGCTGAACACTTTACGTGCGCCGTCTCCAGGAATCTTCACACTGATTCCAGGAAACCCAGACTGCTTTGCCTACAGTGCGGATACGGACACTATCACTCAGCGTTGGAACAACTGCTCAAATTCATACATCTTGGGAATTTGTCCTATAAAGTGACACCGCCCATGGTGGGCAGGTCCTCTCACCAGTACCTGACCATGGCAAGTCCTCTCAGGCACGTGCAGAGATTACACAGTCTCTCCCAAATTCCCTGGTGGCGTGTCTCCTAGGTTGGTGGGTCCAGATCCCATCAAATTGAATACACTTATCAGTTTATCCAGCAGCCACCGTGAAGGGAAAACTCCTCTCTGTAGCTTTCCAGATGCAGGGGCAGCCCCACAATTCCTTTCTTCTCACAACTGAGCACACATCCTGAAGGTGTTGCTTACTCAGTTCTCTCTCTCTCTCTCTGTTCCTCTCTCCTCTCTGCGTGTGTCTTTATATGTGATCCCATGTGAGTAGCTCAGAGGACAACCTCACGGAGTTGGTTCTCTCCTTCTACTGTGTGGGGCCCAGGGATCAAATCCAGGCCATCAGGTTTGGTGACAAGTGCCCTGACCTGCAGAACCGTCTCACCAGCCCTGTCCACCTTCCCTGTTCCTCTCCTTTATAGCTAGCTCCCATTTCCTATTCTGTGTCTTAGACTATTGTTTGCTGTTACCCTAAATTCTTTCCGCTCTCCCCACCCCCACCCCACTAAACATCTCTCTTATCGCTGCAAATGAACTTCCAAGCCCAGCCTCTCTCCTCTCCTCTAGGCTCCTGTTTCTCGCAGCCCCAGGGACAGTTAGCTTCGTGTGAATAACCTCCTGCCACTCCAGATTCAACTGTTCACAATATGGAGTGCCCTTCTCCTGAAATGCGACTCCCTTCCTGCCTGCCTGTGATCCTGGTGAAGAAAATCACACCCATCTGTCCATGCTGCCCTGGAATTGGCAAAGGGAGAGTGCAGAGTGACTAAGAGATTGGGCAAATCCGGAACAAACTCGTCGAGGAGAGTGGTATTGAACTAAGTCTTAAAAGCCTGGCTGGAGCCGGGCGATGGTGGCGCACGCCTTTAATCCCAGCACTCGGGAGGCAGAGGCAGGCGGATCTCTGTGAGTTCGAGACCAGCCTGGTCTACAGAGCTAGTTCCAGGACAGGCTCCAAAGCCACAGAGAAACCCTGTCTCGAAAAACCAAAAAAAAAAAAAAAAAAAAAAAAAAAAAAAAAAAAAAAAAAAAAAAAAAAAAAAAAGCCTGGCTGGGGGAGTAGCTCAGCGGTAGAGAACTTGACTACTACACACGAGGTCCTGGGTCCGGTCTCTCACACCACCAAGAGTGTGTGTGATGGGGTGGGGGTGGGGGTGGGGATTGAGATGGCTTAAAGTTGCCACCTGATAATGCAAACCAGAACCGACAGAAAAGTGGACGTAGAGAACTGAGTTTAAAACTTGTTCTCTGAACATATAATACACACACACACACACACTGTAATAATCATCATCATAAAGCATATATATGTATGTATACACACACACTGTAGTAATCATAATAATAAAGCATATATATATGTATGTACACACACACATACATATATAGGGTTTTTGTGACAGGGTGTTTCTCTGAGTAGCCTAGGTTGTACTGGAACTAGCTCTGTAGACCAGGCTAACCTCAAACTCACAGAGATCTGCCTGCCTCTGCCTCCCAAGTGCTGGGATTAAAGGTGTGTGCAACCATTGCCCAGGATAAATAAAAAAATTTAAAGATTTACTTTTACTTTTGAAAGTATGAGTGTTTTGACAGCGTTTGTGTATGTGCACCATTTGTGTGCCTGGTGCCCATGGAAACTGAAAGAGGGTGTCAGATCCCGCGGTACTGGTGTTACAGATGGTTAGGAGCCCCTACATGAGTGCTGGGAACCAAACCCAGGTCCTCTGCAAGAGCAGAAAGTGCTCTTAACCACTGAGCCATCCTTCCAGCCCAATAATCTATAAAATTATTTTTAAAAAGAAAAATATAGCCAGGCGGTGGTGGCGCATGCCTTTAATCCCAGTACTCAGGAGGCAGAGGCAGGCGGATCTCTGTGAGTTTGAGGCCAGTCTGGTCTACAGAACGAGTTCCAGGACTGGCTCCATAGCTACTGAGAAAACTTGTCTCAAAAAAAACAAACAAAACAAACAAACAAACACCAAAACAAGGCAGGCTAGGGGTGTTGCTCAGTGGTAGCGCAACTGCCTCTATATTCAGCTTCTAACACGATAAGAAAAAAATATTTCCATTTTTTTTGGCGTGTGTGTTTTTATACATGCTTGCGAGTGTGTAGGCAGCAGAAGGAGGGCATCAGACGCATGCTCTATCACTCTCCACCTGATTTCTTTGAGACAAGGTTTCTTGCTAACCCTGGAGTTAGTGCGGTGCTCAGCAAGCCCGGGTGATCCTCCTGTCTCTGCCCTGTGCAGCCACAGGATTGCAGTGGTAACACTGTTCCAGATTTCACATGGGTGATGGAGTTTCCAACTCAGGTCCTCTCAGGCACCAGCCATTTCCCCAGCCACTGGGGGGGGGGGGAGTTTAAATACAGAAAAATGGATGCGGGGGAAGGACGTTCCAGGAAGGGGAGCTGGCATAAGGAAGGTATGAAGGTTTCCAGCTGGGGAGCTGTGGGCACCGGTGCAGAGAGGACAGTGTCTAGTGGATGTGGGTAGTCTTGGTCCTGGGCGGGGGATGATGCTTTGAAAGTCAGTACTGCAGCAGCAGAAAGAGAAAGACAAGAGACAGAACGACCAGGAGACAGACAAGAGGGCCTTGAGGGGGAGAAAGCGAACAGCGGTGGAAGAGAGAAGTGACCCTAGCTGGAGACCCGTGAGAAATGAGAGACTGCAGCAGAGAACAGGGCAAACCCCTTCCACACAAGTGGAAGCAATGAGAGGGTGGCATTGTCATTGTTAAAGACCAGGAAGTGAAGGAATGGGGGGGAGGCTCAATGGGTAAAGAATCTGTTGCACAATCGCGGGGACCTGAGTTCAAATCTCCTGTAACCATGTAAAGCAGAACCCAATATCTCCACTCAGATACACAGGGTGAGCACACCTGAACACACACACACACACACACACACGTACATTCGCACGCGCGCACGTGCACACACACACACACAACCAGGAAGTTAGAAAGGGAACTGTTGCTACAGAAATCAGATCATAGGAACTGAACAAAAGTGTTAGTACAAAAGACTAGGAATTTTTAGAAAGTGTTTTAATCTCACAGGTGAGGAAAATAAATGCAAATTAAAACAACATATTCTTAAACTATCAAATTAGGAGAAAAAAAGTTAAGGTGACTCAGTAAGTGATGCGCTTACCACGAATTCGCAAGGGTCTGAGTTCAAATTCCCATGTCTATAAATCCCAGCTACTCCTACACCAGTGTAAGGAGGCAGAGATGGCAAAATGTGTGGGAGCCCACAGGCCAGTAAGCCTGGCACACACAGTGACAAACAGCGTGAGAGCCTGCCTCAGGCATGGAGGAACATGAGGACCAGCACATGGGGCTGTCCTCTGACCTCCATGTCTTTGTTGTGGTATGTGTGCCCCCGCACCCACAAACAAGTGCACACACAGGTTCGAGTAACATGTCCGATGCTGGCCATGATGCCGGGGGCAGAAGCACACAGTAACGTTGACTAGAGTTCGTGTAAAGGGTCATCTAGAGTGCAGTTTGTGCTCACTGGTTTCTCAAGTTTATACACTTGGACCTAGGAACATAACTCAGTCGACAGAGTGCTTGCCTAGCATACGCAAAATCTTGACTTCGGTCCTAGCACCAATAAAGTGGGCTTGCCTGTAAATCGAACACAAAAGAGAATCAAGACTTCCAGGTTGGGCTGGAGAGATGGCTCTTCCAAAGGTCCTGAGTTCAATTCCCAGCAACCACATGGTGGCTCACAACCATCTGTAATAAGGTCTGTTGCTCTCTTCTGGCTTTCAAGCATACATGTAAACAGAATATTGTATACATAAAAAAATAAATATTAAAAAAAAAAGATTTCCAGGTCATCTATGCTACATAATAGGTTCAAGGCCAGCCTAGGCTATAGACTGTTTCAAACAAGGCTTGGATGTAGCTCAGGATGCGGATGTGGGAGATTTCCTTCACAGCATGCCGGACAAAAACCTAAGTTTGATCCTCAGCACCACACATGGCCACACAGATCAGGCGGTATGTTGTTACAGGTCTGTAATCCCAGTACTCAGAAGGTACAAGAAACAGGAGGGTCAGAAGTGCAAGGTCGTCCTCAGCCACAAGAGACCCTGTATCTAAATAAGTAAATAAAGTTTATCAGGCTTTAGTTTATAAAACATTATCTTAGAGATTACAATTTTATTTTTTAAATATGTATTTATTTATTTATTTATTTATTTATTTATTATGTATACAATATTCTGTCTGTGTGTATGCGTGCAGGCCAGAAGAGGGCACCAGACCTCATTACAGATGGTTGTGAGCCACCATGTGGTCGCCGGGAATTGAACTCAGGACCTTTGGAAGAGCAGGCAATGCTCTTAACCACTGAGCCATCTCTCCAGACCTAACTATCCTATCTTGATGAGTCCAAAGTCTTCTACCTAAACTACTTTCTATCATAACTTCTATTACCTTACCATCATAAGATATCTTTTTAGTCCTTAAAACGTTTTCTTAGACAAACACCTTAAGTTTTTATGTCTCTCATCCTTATAAACTTTATATCTCTTTTGTAAG